CATGTTTTATGATGTCTAGTCATGTTTAATCACGTTAATGTATACACATTATTATATATATATTATTTATACTTAACATTCTATTCTTTTGGTCACTAGGACAAGGTACCAGGTTTTGATCCACACCCATATGCACTGGAGCTTTCATCGCGAAAGTCATGTTGGAAACAAGTTATGTTGCAAATATTCATTAGACATGTGACGTAAAAGGACCATTCATTTCTACAGTAGGACTAATGCATTGCCCCTCTGCATACTGCAGCCGTTGCAGTTCATCAAACGGACGTTTTTGCGGAGACAACTCTTCAGACGGACATGTCGGACATGACTGGAGTACGAGAGTTCGAGGAGCCAGTGAAGAGCATGAAAACCAAGAAACCGTCGATGCTGGAGTTCATGGGCCTTGCAGGTCAGCAATTGGATTAATAATGATTCATGGGATACAATCGGATAAATATACAAGGGATCATTGGATATCATTGGTATACTGATGCTGCATGATATATATATATATATAGGATGATATAGGTATAGGCTGTACATAGGCAGTTACCAAATAATCTCAGTCCATGCTATATACCATGCCCTAATTTGTTCCTCAGCTCGCTATGCAAGCCCGTCAGGCAATTTCGGACATCTCAACCTGTCGGATCCTTTTGATGTCAAGAAGCGACGATCCACCTACATCACGGAGATCCGTGCAGGGATTACCACTTTCCTGGCCATGGCCTACATTCTTCCAGTGAACAGTGGCATGTTGAGCTTGGTGATCCCCGGCAAGCGTGAAGAACTTGTTTGTGCCACAGCGCTTGCAGCCTTCTGTGGTTGCTGGTTGATGGGCATCTTGTCCAACTACCCTTTCATGCTTGCACCAGGACGGGAACTTATGCTGTCCGATTGCAGCACTAGCATTGGTCTTGGGGCATACATGTTTTATACCCACGGGAAATCAAAGGCAACCCGTGCTGATTCTATGCCTAGAGACAAAATTGAAGATGATACAGATTGCCTTCAGAACCAAATGGATTTTCTGTGATAGCAGCTGGTAGAGCAATGGACGTTCAGAGTGGAAGTGTATTCTATCTTGGTCTAGTTCTTACATGCACAGGACTAGACGTTCCTGATTTTGAAAAGTCATCGATGTATCAGAACCAGATTGACTTCTCCATCTTCAAAAAACAGCAAAGATTTTGAGGCAGAATAGGTGGACGACTTTTCAACTGGAGGAATGGGAACGAATGCGTTCTTCACCTTCACCATCTGCTTGGGACGAGGCTTACCATACGAGGCAGCCTTTGCAGCGGTCTTTGTGGCTGGCTGCATCTTCATCCTCTTGAGCATCACCGGATTGCGGACACTAATGATTCGCCTCTTCCCGGAAGGTGTCAAGGAGAGTATCTTGCCAATGATGAGGGAAACGCATGGAAAAGCGACGTTTTTTTTTTGAAGTTTTTTGACATTTCTTTTCAGCGACTTCAGCGATTCAAACTTCTAGACCGAACTTCTGGTGACTAACCGGGGAGCCAAGGTATTGGTGCTGGTGTTGGCCTTTTTCTGTGCTTCATCGCATTCCAAAGCTCCGAAGGCACCTTTTTTAACAGATGCACTTGAGGTTTTTTAAGGACATGGACGGAGTGAACTCACAAGCCTAACACGGTGATCATCTTTAGGTGTTGATCCAAAGGTATCCAAAGGTGTTGCGAAGTCAATGACATGGCAAATTCTGCGACACACTCACTGTGTCAGTTTTTCAGGTTCAGCCATTCGATGTGTTCACTTGCACAGGTGAATCTTGCCATTTTCGCATGCATGTTGGTTCAAACCTCAGGGACCCCTTTGGCCAACATCTGACAAATGTCAGATAACCAGGCTACTTGTTTTTCGTAGCGCTCTTGGTGAGCGCTGTGTGCGCCATAGACTGGTGGCCGACGCTGCTTCGAGACGAGCAGCCAGAAAAAGGAGTGACTGCAAATCGAGAAGTGTAACATCTGACCTTGCACTCCAACAACCACAGTTTTGGGCTACCAGTGACGCACTGTCACTGGTAGCGGAGCTACCTGGGCTGCTGCGAGAGTGACTTCACGGAGCAGAAGTTCAGGCCCTTTGGTGGAGCCCCGTGCGCTGGCCGCTGAACCAATCCAACCTTTGGTGCTGCGCTGCAATCACTGCTTGTGTCTTTGATTTGGTCTTCACTGGTGGGGACGCAATCAGAGCTCGAGGGGTGCAGAATATCAACATTGGTGTGCAATCATTGCTCGTGTGACGAAGTTTGACCTGATTGTCCTTCGAAGCACGATGGCCGACAAAGACAAGGATTTTCGATGCGGATGGGATGGCGACATCAGCACCTTCCCAGACTATGTGCGCCGGGTGAGGTTGATCTTCGAGAAAACGAGACGGAGGCGCCGCAAGCATCTTGGCCCCGATCTCGTAGCCCAATTGACAGGCCGTGCATGGGTCATTACCCAGGAGATCGACCACACCAAGCTGACTCAGGACGATGGTGCTCGGTACCTCGTGGACTTCTTGGAGGAGAAGCTTGCCCGAGTACCAGTACCTGACGCAGGTGTTCGTGCAGAAGAACTTTTAGTTCGTCTTCGCCGACCACCTGGGATGACGATGGCAACCTGGTGCGCAACTGTCAGGGAGTCCTACAGGAAGTTGCAACGGGCTCTCAAGAGGGCAAGGCCGGCATCACAGGCGCCGACTAGCCCAGGCCGTGAGAGCTCAATGGTTCCTTCGCCCTCCACTTTGCGAAGGGATGTGCAATCTCCTATGACTCCGACACCTGGCTCTACAGCGACTTCACCTTCGAGGCGATCCCGCAGAGCTTCAGCTGGCACAGTGCCAGAACCAGAGCAGATGCCGACTCCAGAACGTCAGGCACAAGCTGCTTCAGCTGAACCTCATGGAGATGGAGCAGAAGATGATGAAGAAGAAGTTGAAGAGTTTGGAGAAGACCCCATCACAGGGGAAACGTCCTTCCAACGTGGCGTCGCGAAGGGCATGGGAAAAAGGTCTGAATCGCCCTCCAAGTCGCGCTCTGGAAAGCGCAAAGCTGCAGAAGACTCTAGTTCGTCTTCTGATGGTGGCACTGCTTGGCACATGAAGCAGTGGTCTGAGATGGACTCCGGCCTTCCAGAAGTTCTTCCTACGGAACTGCTGGGTTGGTTGATGTTGAGGCGCTGCAACCTCACAGCTCAACAAAGGCTCAACATCTTGAGCACCACCGGCAACTCACTGAAGGCGGAGGACATCGAGAATGCGCTGAGAGGTGCCGAAGATGAACTACGAGTTCAAGAAGATGCCAAAGGAAAGGGCAAGGGTGGCAGATCCATCAACCGCCCAAACTTTTGGATCGAAGAAGGTGGAGAATGGGGATTGCTAGCTGCAGATGAAGCTGAATTCCTGGAAGGAAGTCTGGATGATGTCCACTGGGTCGGCAAAGACATTGCCGCCATCTATGGGGCGACATCGACTTCACCGCCTTCGACGACCTCAAGCCATCCTATGCCTGCTGAGCCCAAATGGACTTCAGTTTCAAATGGGTACTGGTTCCAAGATGAGTGGGGCCAATTCACCTTCTGGTCACAGCATCAAGATGGCGAGTACTACACCATGGACGACGACGGCGTCTACTGGACATGGCCTGAGTTCATGGAGGAGGCTGCATGGTGGAGTGCCTCGCCGGAGCAGCAGAAGGAGATCAATGACGCCTTCGCTGCCTATGACCAGAAGATCCGCTCTTTCATGGAATCCCGTGAGCTGCTGCGCAACAAGGGCGCCAGCAGAGGATACTACAAAGGTGGCAAGCCTTTTGGAAAAGGCAAAGGCAAAGGCTTGGGAAAAGGGAAGTCCAAGCCATCTTCATCGGCTGGACAGACGTTCTTCCAGAACCAGCCGAGTGATGTGCTTGCATCTGTTGGCCAGCCAGGCTACACTGGATGCTTCGTGTGCGGAAGCAAGTCTCACGACTTCCGCTCCTGCCCTCAGCGCGGTGGAAAAGGTAAACCCTCGACCGCCAAGGGTGGAATCTACATGGTGACCGATGTGGAGGAGACCGCAGCTGTGGCTATGCCGTCTTCTTCGACCAGGCCTTCATCGATCGAAGATGCCTGGGCTGCTCATGTGGCGAATCCAGATCTCCGTGGACACGCCGTTTTGGACACAGGCGCGACGGAGACAGTGACTTCGCTGGCTGCATTGGAAGCCATTCACAGGCGAAGGACAGAATTGTTGGGTCACACAGATCATGTTGAAGTTGTTCCGGGTCCGGGGAAAGTTTTAGGTTTGGTAATGGTCAAACACAACAATCAGAAAGTTTCGTTTATTTGAAGCAGCAGGTAGGAAACCATGAGATCAAGTTGGGCGCGTATACGATAGATGCGTCAGGAGTGCCCCTGCTGCTGGGGATAAGAACCCTTGAGAGGTTAGGTGCGATCTTAGACACCAAGCAAGGTTTCTTGGTGATGAAGACGGTCGACCCGACCCTGGTAGTCCCTTTGAAAAGGTCTCCGACCGGACACCTTCTTTTGGATTTGTGTTCCAATTGGCTCGATGGTGGTGCCAAAATCCTGTTCCAGACCGAGATTTCTCCCATGTCGGTTGAGGAAAAAGCGTTCAATGTCGTGAGCTTTGATGGAGTTTGGAATGATTTGGAGAAGGTGAAAGGTAATGAGGTGGAAAGTTTTCAGCAGTCAAGTTCATCACCTACAGCACCTCACTCGTGCGCGGACATTGACATCGTTGCGCACACCTTCACCTACAACAACCGAGCTGAGCTTGATGATGTTTTTGTGGTTTTTGATGATTCAAGTTTGATGCAAGTTCATGAAGAAACAGTGCAATTTCAGAACATGAACATGACCACTTCCAGTACCACATCTCACATGTCACGTTCTTCAAGTTCCAGTGGAGCCAGAACCTCTATGCTCTTACCGCCTCATCATTCAGCGGACCAAGACCAAGCAATGAGCTTGAGGATTCTAGCCCTCCTGGCTTCCACCTCACTTCTTGCTGTTCATGGCGCAGCCGACGGCCAAGATCGCTGCGACCCCGAAAGTGGCTGCGAAACCGGCTACAAAGCCGAAAGCCAAAGTGAGCTGGGACACCAAGTACGATGCCTCTCGTACCACGGGACCGGATGTGAGGGACCCCCGCTGCCAAGGAGCTCCGTGCTACGGCAGCCATGTCACGGCCAAACCAGGCCGCGGGTCACCATCGGGCAGCAATGCCCACGGCTCGTGGGAAGCCTGCGAGAAGTGTCTGCTGAGACTGTCATACACACCGGCGTATGGAGCCCATGCTCTCCATCGCAAGGCGGGACCACTACCTTCGGACACGGCCAACATGGTGTCCAAGGTAGGTCCCAACAATGCTGGCTACAACGACAAGATGAAAGACCGCAGCATTGCCTTGGATGCAGCGGAAGTGTCAGCAGAGAAGAAGCTGGAAATGGTGGGTGCCCAGAAAGCCGCTTGGATGAAACAGCAGAAAGAAGGAAGCCAAATGACCAATTCGACAGGGGCAACGGCGTCGGAAGTTCCTCCAGTGACGCCAACTGCCCAGTACTCCGAGGAGATGGGAACAACACCTGGAAGAAAAGCTCGGAGACCAGAGGCGACAGCCGAACAGTTGGAGTACGACGGCCGCTCCACACAGTCTTGGAGCGAGGTGGCTGGAACGCCGCCGACATCGACCCCATGAATGAGCTCAACTATGAGGCAAAGGTTGACCCGAAGTTCCACGTTCAGGACTTTGACAACAAGGCGTTCTTCAAGAAGGACGACATGGATGACTATGACTTCAACATGGATGTTGAAGAAGCGTGGATGACCAACGCAACCTTTGACCAGATGGAGCCCTGTGAGAAGAAGATGTTGAACGATGCCCTGCACTGCCACTACGAAGATTTGGAGGAGTGCTTTGGCAACTTGATAGCTCATAGCGATCAACATCGTCAGCTTGACCTTATGGAGCTTTGCTGTGAGAAGGACAGCCTGCTGTCCACCTACATGGAGAAAGGTGGAGGCACAGCTTTCAGAGCTGGTCTTTTCAATGGCTTCGACCTCATGACGGAGCATGGAACGCAGCTGGCCATTGCAGCTGTGAGACGCTTGAAGCCGAAACTTCTTTGGGCCAGTTTTCCATGTGGGCCGACCTCTCCGATACAGGCTTTGAATGAGCTGACGGAAGAGGGGAAACGCAAAAGCCGTGAACGAGTTCGTCGCTCACGGAAGCTTGTGAGAAATGGGATCAGAGTTTTGGAAGCTCAGGTTCTTGAAGGAGGACAAATCGTCCAAGAATGGCCCCGGTTCAACAAAGCTTGGAAGTTTCCCGAGATCTTGGAGTTTTGGCAAGCTCTTGGAGTTCGTGAACCTTGGGAAGACGTCTTGTTGGATGGTTGCTGCTATGGCCTTCAAGTGCCTGAAGGTTTTCTCAAAAAGCCTTGGTGCCTACGTTGCTCAAAGGTGGGTGTCTTCACATCGATGGCTAGACAATGCCCTGGAGGACATCAACATGTACCTACGATGGGTGGCAACCGCACCAAGCACTCTGCCCTCTACACTCCACGGCTATGCCAAACAGTATGCCATGCTTATCTTCAAGATCAAAGAGCTGGCGCTGCCTTTGGAGTTTTGCAGATAGAAGTGGGCCGTGAAGGTCTAAAACAAATGACAGATCAAGAGCTGCAACACTTGGCTCAGAGTGTGCTCAAATTGCACCGACTCTGTGGTCATCCTGGCAATCGAGCTTTGATGAAAACCTTGGCTGCTCGAGGTGCTGATGGCCGTACTTTGGCCGTTGCGGAAAAGCTCAACTGCATGGAATGTTTGGAAGGTCAAATGACCAAGCCTTCCACCAAAGTGGCATTGGAGAAAGAAGAAGTGATTTGGAAGACGCTTCAGATGGACACCTTTTTCTTCAAGTACGGTGATCAAGTCCATCACTTCCTCCTTATGCTGGATGAAGCCTCAGGTTTTTCGGTGGTGAAACAGTTCTCAGTTCACAGTGACGAGGACCACCAGAACATCACCACTGCCGAGACCCTGGAGATCCTTCAACAGTGCTGGTTTCAGTACTTTGGCATGCCTCACAGGATCAGATGCGATCTTGAAGGCGCTTTCAGAGGTGATCTTTTAGAGATCTTTTGCAAGGAACGCGGAATAGAACTCACACTATGTCCCGCAGAACATCATGAATCAATAGGAGAAGTTGAACGTAGTGTGGGTGAGCTGAAGAAGAAGATGACCGCTTACTTGCGGAATGAGGCCGACTCGTCTCCCTCTGAAGCCGCTGCGGAAATGTGTGGTGCTCACAATCGCATTGCACGGATTGGAGGCTATGCTCCCAACCAATGGGCTTTTGGCCGTGATGTGGATGAAAGAGATAACTTGGCTCTTGCAAGTGCTCAGAGCGATCCCTCATCTGAGATGCATCGCAGTCTTCAACGACGACTACGAGCTGAAGGTCGCCATCGTGAACTTCAAGCACAGGCCAAGATTTCTCGAGCCCTCAATGCAAAGGTCCAGAAATCCACACAGTTCATCCCTGGTGACTTGGTCTACTAATTACAAAAGGTTCAAGACCCCAGCAGATACACCTGCTCATGCCTTGCTTGACACGCCTTCTATGAAAGTGTCAAGGTGGTTTGGACCTGGACGTGTTTTGGCGTCCGAGACCAGAGTTTTGGATGAAGGAGCGACACGTGCTCCATCAAATGTGGTTTGGATTATTTCACAAGGGCGTCTCAAGAAGACCCACTCAAGCCAATTGCGCCATGCCAGTGAGCGTGAAAAGCTCATCGCTGAAGCCACTGAGGCACCAACATTGCCCTGGACATTTACCTCCCTGGGACGAACCTTGCAGAAAGGTGAATATGAGGACTTGACCAAAGAGCCGCCTCGACGAGGACGACCTCCTGGCTCACTCAACAAACCAAAGGTCACAATCTTCAAGCCCAAGCGAGACGCAACCTCTTCTGCTTCAGCTTCCAGACCTGCAGATTCACCTGAACCTACTCAGCCTGACATGGTGGACTCTGATGAAGAGTTGATCCCCGCTGATGATGGACTACCTCCTGAAGATCAACGAGATTCAGAACAAGATCAACCTTCTGCAGAAGTTCCAGGTGAAGAAAGGCCAGAAGACCTTGATGTGGATCGTCTTTTGGAAGATCCTCGCTACATGCCTATGAGAACAATTGCAGATGAAGAGCTGAAGAGAAGGAGGACTGAGTTTGCAAACCTTCGGAGATCTCATGAGATGGCTGACCGCCCTTTTCATGTGATGAAACAACTTGGAGATCCCGCTGCTGGACCACCTGCTTCCAATTTCTGGGCAATGGACGACTCCGAGAATGACATCTTTGGCGTCATCATCGACATGCCCAAGGATGAGACGGAGTGGAAAAAGGTCCTGAAGAACCCTGCCAAATTTGCAGCAAAGTCAGTATCGAAAGGTGCTGAAGTTGCCTGGCACAAACTCAATGCTACGCAACGTGCTGCGATGGCTGAGGCAAAGCAGTTGGAAGTTTCCCAATGGATGCAACAAAAAGTTTGCGAGCGTTTCAAAGGTGTGATTCCACCGAGTCGTTTGATGAGAACTCGATGGGTCCTGGTTTTCAAGTCGGTGGACGACGATGAGACAAAGGTGAAATGTAAGGCGAGGATCGTCTTGCTCGGATTTACGGATCCGGATCTTGGTAGTTTGGAGACAGCAGCTCCAACCTTGAGTCGGAGATCCCGCCAGCTTTGTCTTTCCTTGTCGACCGTGAGGCGCTGGAAAACCTACAAGGCAGACGCAAAGTCGGCGTTTTTGCAAGGCCGACAGACCCAGAAGCACAGGGACATCTTCATCACACCCGTGGCCGAGTTGGCTCAATCAATGGGCATTCCCCCTGGTGAAGGAGCCCGCATGCTGAAGGCCGCATACGGTCTAGTTTCAGCACCACGTGAATGGTTTGGTGAGGTGGATGAAGTAGCTGCAAACAAATGTGCCATGAAGAGACTCAAGACAGACCCTTGCATCTGGATCAAACAGGATGCCCGGTCTGGAAGGACCATTGGCTACTTTGCCAGCCACGTTGATGACTTCTTGGTGGCCGGCGAGTGGGAGAATCCAGAATGGATCAAGACTGTGGAGCTCTTCAAGCAGGCCTTTGTGTGGAGCCCCTGGGAAGAGCAATCTTTTGCTCATTGTGGTGTTGCTCTGGAGCAAAACGCAGATTTCAGCTTCACGTTCAACCACAGCAACTACGTGGAGCAGATCAACCAGATCACCATCAATGACAAGGTGGACCACATTTCCCCGGAGGAGATGACCCAAGCTCGTGCCGTGTTGGGTGCCATACAATGGAGAGCAATTCAAACTGGGCCCCAGCACTCGGCAAAACTTTCTTGGTTGCAGTCCGCATTGCCCCGAGGCTCTAAGGACATTCTGCACCAGATCAACAAGCTCTGCCGAGAATGCCACGCTCAACGTTTCCAGTCCATTGCCATCAAGAACCTTGGAATCCAAAGAGCCGAAGACATAGAATTTGCCTGTTGGACAGACGCAGCCGTGGGCAATCGCCCCGATATGTCGTCGACTGGAGGCTACATGGTTGCAATGGTTCATTCTGCCTTCCTCAATGGGCAGAAAGGTGTGGCAAACCCTATTTCGTGGAAAAGTGGAAAGCTTGGCCGGGTGGCGAAGTCTTCGTTATCGGCCGAAATACAGGCCCTAGGTGATGGCGAGCAGGAGCTCATGTACATCAGAGCTGAATGGGCTGAGCTGACTGGCTATGAGCTCAACCTTCGACAGCCTGAACTGGCAACCTCAAAAATTCCAGGCGCTGTGATCATCGATGCGAAGTCCGTCTATGACGCCTTCTACAAGGGCGAGGGAGCTTCATCAGCTTTTTCGATGAAGGAAAAATATGCAGCACTGGATTTGATGGCCATCACAGAGAACCTCAGAAAGCAGAACACACCGCTTCTTTGGGTGGCATCGGATGCCCAGTTGGCTGATGGCCTCACCAAAGCAGCTGCTGCTGAAACTCTACTTCATTTCCTTCAACGAGGCCAGTTGTGGGTGGTGAAGTATGACCCGGAGTTCATTGCAGCCAAGCGCAAGAAGGCAAAAGGCCTTCAGAGCACCAAAGTAGAAGTAGATTTAGACATGCCAGCAGAAGATTTGACGTGGCAACAGTTAATGTCACGGCAAAGATTCACCCATTCCAGTGAAGAATCTTGGGGCATGTCAGTTTTTCAGGTTCAGCCATTCGATGTGTTCACTTGCACAGGTGAATCTTGCCATTTTCGCATGCATGTTGGTTCAAACCTCAGGGACCCCTTTGGCCAACATCTGACAAACGTCAGATAACCAGGCTACTTGTTTTTCGTAGCGCTCTTGGTGAGCGCTGTGTGCGCCATAGACTGGTGGCCGACGCTGCTTCGAGACGAGCAGCCAGAAAAAGGAGTGACTGCAAATCGAGAAGTGTAACATCTGACCTTGCACTCCAACAACCACAGTTTTGGGCTACCAGTGACGCACTGTCACACTGCATACTGCAGCTGTTTGAAGCTGTTTGAAGCTGAAGGTATGGGTCTTTCCGTGGCAGATCCTGCAACTCTGGTGACCTTGAACTCATTGAGCCCCAGCAACTACGACTCGGCCAAGTCACTTGGATTGACCCCTTCCATGAGCGTCCTTGGTAAACACAATGAATACACAATGAAAACCAGTTGCTTTCTGAATATCTCTGAATCATTCTGAATCATTCTGAATCCATATTGCCAGGAAACTTTTTTTGCTGTTCCCCGCTGTTCCGACAAATCTCCTGGTTTCAAGGCTGTGGCTCAGCATTGCAGTGCTCTGCGTCACTGCTACGCTGCTTGGCTGCACTCTTGGTGGACTTCAACAGGAGGCTGGTGCTGGCAGTTCACAGACCTCTCTTTGCTAATTGATTCCTAGATGACGAGGCTCCAATTTGATCCAATTTGCATCAATCGTGCTAAACCATGGCTTTCGCAGGTATACATTATCATTAGAGGGTAGGAATCTTGAACTATACACAATCACCAATCATTACCTTTTTACTGATAGGACCAACATCAGCCATTGCGAGCTTGAGGATAATCCATCATGCGACCATGCGACTTAAGAACAAAGCCAGGCTGGTTGTGGATAATAGGGATCATAATAGGGCTGATTAGACTAGACATTGATTGCTGAAATGAGAGGATGGCAACCGCTGAACAGGGCGCTTTTTGAAGAACAGTTTCAATGACCCACATACACCATGCTCATTGTGGTCCATGGGAGAACTGCCACTTCTCTTATGAATGCCGTTTCACGAAAGAAGGGTGGCATGTAGTGACACGTCGTCCATAGATGTCCATAGATGTCCATAGTGGATCTTCTCTTCCTTCTTAACTCGATTTTTCCCAATTTTGAATTCAACACCGCTTGATGTGCTTCATGGTTTGGTGAAGCTGAGGCTATTCGCAGCGAAAGTTCCTGGGGCTCCATTGATGGGTATCCTCTTTGGCACGGCCATCTGCTGGATTGAGGGCTTTTGCCGCGGCCCTGAGCATTCAGTCTTCGGCTATCCCTTTGGCACTGATGGGGACAGGTGGGACATGGGGTTGAGCTTGTCAGTGCGAGGATTTCTTGTCCGACAGGGGATTCCAACCTATACGGAAATGATATCCACAAGGGTGGGAAATGGGTCATTCCGACCCCTTAAAGCACCTACTTTACAACCCTTGAAACTGGAGTGTTTTGGAGCAACCCTGTTGAAACGATGATTCGACCAATTGAACATGTGAAATCCAGCAGGTCCGCGAAGGACTTCCACATCTATGTCCCTACAAGTATTGTCGCCGCTCCGTCTTTGACTGGTCTCTCTGGTTCGCTTTGGAACGGTTTTCATGCAGCAGTCGACCCCGCCACGGCCGCCACATTCTGGACTGCTGTGGCAACATTCTGCTACACCGAAGCTGGGATGGTTTGAACATGTTTGAAAGGGATGGGATTTGGATGGATTTGGTGCAGAGGACTTCACCTGGTGAATCTTGGTGAATCTTGGTACCTGCAGTATCCCATAGTATCCCCCAATGCCTCCATTGCGCACCCAAGCTACATCACACCATCACGGCCTCCAAGGATTTGCTGGACTCATCAGGCACCTTCTTTGCGGTGGCGAAGGTGGCAGGATTAACCGATAAGCGCGGCAACTTGCCCTTGGCCCGGCAGAACATGGTGCCTCGGTGAGTGTCTCCGTTGTCTGTTGACTACCAGACTCGCACTGCTCCAGCAACCTAGAAATACCTAGAAATACACAACTGGCCTCTCCAAGTGCGTATTGACAAGTTGACCATTCTCTTAACATTTGCATTTCAGGTGGAGTATGGACATGTATGGACCTTTGTATGTACGTGATGCATGTTGAATGCTCCAGTGCCATTCCTATCATTCCTGTTTATAGCGAGGCTGAGTCAGACCTCCGCAGTCCTTCGAATTTAGGTGTGCTTCATCGAAAGGTTTGCCTCGCAGAGGTATTCCTTTTATTAGAGAACATGTCGTGAAATATGCTAGAGCCCATGGGACGTTGGACACTGTGTCAAGATTATGATTTTGAAGGATAAAATGGAATGAACTTGAATGAAATTGGCCAAGTGTCATCCTTTTCTATCTATGAGTGCGCCATGTTTATATAATTTTATATATGTTTATCCTCCATTTCCTCCACTTCCACAGCTTTCAATGTGGGGCCATGGATCCAAGGCGTACCTGGCCGACGCCATCGCAGCGCTCATCGGCTCCATGTTGGGTGTCTCCACCGTGGCCACCTTTGCCGAATCCACCGCGGGAGTGGCCGATGGCGCCAAGACAGGACCGGATGATGGATGATAGTGACCTGATAGTGTTTTGTTGGAGATTTGCAAAGCATCAAATAGATCTGAACAGATAAAAGCTGGAACCCATCTTGTGCCTGGGATTGAGAACGGAGATTGAAGCGTGAACTTTTGAACTTTGAGCCGATGTCCCTGGGATTGGGTGCCAGGCTTGGCGTCCCTGATCACGGGCACGTGCTTCCTGCTGGCCATTCCCATTGCACCGGTGGTCTCAGCCGTGCCGCCCTTGGCGTCTGGACCCATCTTGTGCCTACTGGGTGCGCTGATGTGCAGTTCGGTGAGGGGCATTGATTGGGATGACTACCCGGAGCGCCGCTGTTGGACAACTGCTGCAAAGGTATTGGGACAAGATGGGATAGAAATAGGGAAATAACTAGGGAAATAAATAGGTACATAAATTAGGGAAATAAATAGGAAAATAATTAGGGAAATAAATTAGGGAAATAAATAGGGAAATAAATCGGGAAATAAATAGGAAAATAAATTAGGGAAATAAATAGGGAAATAAATAGGGAAATAAATCGGGAAATAAATCGGGAAATAAATTAGGGAAATAAATAGGGAAATAAATAGGGAAATAAATCGGGAAATAAATAGGGAAATAAATCGGGAAATAAATAGGGAAATAAATCGGGAAATAAATAGGGAAATAAATAGGGAAATAAATTAGGGAAATAAATAGGGAAATAAATAGGGAAATCAATTAGGGAAATAAATAGGGAAATAAATAGGCAAATAAAAAGGGAAATAAATAGGGAAATAAATAGGGAAATAAATAGGGAACTAAATCGGGAAATAAATCGGGAAATAAATAGGGAAATAAATTGGGGAAATAAATAGGGAAATAAATCGGGAAATAAATCGGGAAATAAATAGGGAAATAAATTAGGGAAATAAATAGGGAAATAAACAGGGAAATAAATAGGGAAATAGGGACATAACTAGGGAAATAAATTAGGGAAATAAATAGGGAAATAAATAGGGAAGTAAATAGGGAAATAAATTAGGGAAATAAATTAGGGAAATAAATAGGGAAATAAATAGGGAAATACATAGGGAAATAAATAGGGGAATAAATGGGGAAATAAATAGGGAAATAAATAGGGAAATAAATTAGGGAAATAAATAAGGGAATAAAAAGGGAAATAAATCGGGAAATAAATTATGAAAATAAATAGGGAAAAAAATAGGGAAATAAATTAGGGAAATTCTTAGGGAAATAGGGAAATAAATAGGGAAATAAATAGGGGAATAAATAGGGAAATAATAGGGAAATAATAGGGAAATAAATAGGGGAATAAATAGGGGAATAAATAGGGAAATAAATAGGGAAATAAATTAGGGAAATAAATCGGGAAATAAATAGGGAAATAAATAGGGAAATAAATAGGGAACTAAATCGGGAAATAAATCGGGAAATAAATAGGGAAATAAAATAGGGAAATAGGGAAATAAATGGGGAAATAAATAAGGAAATCAATAGGCAAATAAATAGGGAAATAAATAGGGAAATAAATTAGTGAAAATAAATATGGAAATAAATAGGGAAATAGGGCCATAAATTATGGAAAAAATAGGACAATAAACCGGGACATAAATTAGGGAAATTAATAGGGGAATAAATAGGGAAATAAATAGGGACATAAATCGGGAAATAAATCGGGAAATAAATTAGGGAAATAAATAGGGAAATAAATAGGGAAATAAATAGGGAAATAAATAGGGAACTAAATCGGGACATAAATCGGGAAATAAATAGAGAAATAGGGAGATAAATAGGGAAATAAATAGGGAAATAAATAAGGGAAATAAATAGGGAAATAAATAGGGAAATAAATAGGGAAATAAATAGGGAAATAAATAGGGAAATAAATAGGGAACTAAATAGGGAACTAAATCGGGAAATAAATCGGGAAATAAATAGAGAAATCAATAGGGAAATCAATAGGCAAATAAATAGGGAAATAAATAGGGAAATAAATAGGGAAATAAATAGGGAAATAAGTAGGGAAATAAATAGGGAAATAAATAGGGAAATAAATAGGGACATAAATAGGGAAATAAATAGGGAAATAAATTAGGGAAATAAATAGGGAAATAAATAGGGAAATAAATTAGGGAAATCAATAGGGAAATATATAGGGAAATAAATAGGGGAATAAATAGGGGAATAAATAGGGAAATAAATAGGGAAATAAATTAGGGAAATAAATAGGGAAATAAATAGGGAAATAAATAGGGAAATAAATAGGGAACTAAATCGGGAAATAAATCGGGAAATAAATAGGGAAATAAAATAGGGAAATAGGGAAATAAATGGGGAAATAAATAAGGAAATCAATAGGCAAATAAATAGGGAAATAAATAGGGAAATAAATTAGGGAAATAAATAGGGAAATAAATAGGGAAATAAATTAGGGAAATAAATAGGGAAATAAATAGGGAAATAGGGACATAAATTAGGGAAATAAATAGGGAAATAAACCGGGACATAAATTAGGGAAATTAATAGGGGAATAAATAGGGAAATAAATAGGGACATAAATCGGGAAATAAATCGGGAAATAAATTAGGGAAATAAATAGGGAAATAAATAGGGAAATAAATAGGGAAATAAATAGGGAACTAAATCGGGAAATAAATCGGGAAATAAATAGAGAAATAGGGAGATAAATAGGGAAATAAATAGGGAAATAAATAAGGGAAATAAATAGGGAAATAAATAGGGAAATAAATAGGGAAATAAATAGGGAAATAAATAGGGAAATAAATAGGGAAATAAATAGGGAAATAAATAGGGAAATTAATTAGGGAAATAAATTAGGGAAATCAATAGGGAAATCAATAGGCAAATAAATAGGGAAATAAATAGGGAAATAAATAGGGAAATAAATAGGGAAATAAGTAGGGAAATAAATAGGGAAATAAATAGGGAAATAAATAGGGACATAAATAGGGAAATAAATAGGGAAAAAATAGGGAAATAAATAGGGAAATAAGTAGGGAAATGCATAGGGAAATACATAAGGGAGATAAATAGGGAAATATAAATAGGGAAATAAATTAGGGAAATAAATTAGGGAAATAAATAGGGAAATAAATAGGGAAATAAATAGGGAAATAAATAGGGAACTAAATCGGGAAATAAATCGGGAAATAAATAGAGAAATAAATAGGGAAATAAATAGAGAAATAAATTAGGGACATAAATAGGGAAATAAGTAGGGAAATACATAGGGAAATAAATTAGGGAAATAATTAGGGAAATAAATTAGGGAAATAAATAGGGAAATAAATAGGGAAATAAATTAGGGAAATAAATCGGGAAATAAATAGGGAAAGAAATAGGGAAATAAATGAGAAATAAATAGGGAAATAAATAGGGAAATAAATAGGGAAATAAATGAGAAATAAATAGGGAAATAAATAGGGAAATAAATTAGGGAAATAAATAGGGAAATAAATAGGGAAATAAATAGGGAAATAAATAGGGAAATAAATTAGGGAAATAAAATAGGGACATAAATAGGGAAATAAATAGGGAAATAAATGAGAAATAAATAGGGAAATAAATAGGGAAATAAATTAGGGAAATAAATAGGGAAATAAATAGGGAAATAAATAGGGAAAAAATAGGGAAATAAATAGGGAAATAAGTAGGGAAATGCATAGGGAAATACATAAGGGAGATAAATAGGGAAATATAAATAGGGAAATAAATTAGGGAAATAAATTAGGGAAATAAATAGGGAAATAAATAGGGAAATAAATAGGGAAATAAATAGGGAAATAAATAGGGAACTAAATCGGGAAATAAATCGGGAAATAGAGAAATAGGGAGATACATAGGGAAATAAATAGGGAAATAAATAGGGAAATAAATAGGGAAATAAATAGGGAAATAAGCAGGGAAATAAATTAGGGAAATAAATTAGGGAAATAAATAGGGAAATAAGTAGGGAAATGCATAGGGAAATAAATAGGGAAACAAATAGGCAAATAAATAGGGAAATAAATAGGGAAATAAATTAGGGAAATAAAGCGGGAAATAAATAGGGAAACAAAAAGGGAAATAAATAGGGAAATAAATTAGGGAAATAAATAGAGAAATAAATAGGGAAATACATAGGGAAATAAATAGGGGAATAAATAGGGAAATAAATAGGGAAATAAATAGGGAAATAAATAGGGAAATAAATAGGGAAATAAATAGGGAAATAAATAGGGAAATAAATTAGGGAAATAAATCGGGAAATAAATTAGGGAAATAAATAGGGAAATAAATAGGGAAACAAATAGGGAAATAAATAGGGAAATAAATTAGGAAAATAAATAGGGAAATAAATAGGGAAATAAATAGAGAAATAAATTAGGGACATAAATAGGGAAATAAGTAGGGAAATACATAGGGAAATAAATTAGGGAAATAATTAGGGAAATAAATTAGGGAAATAAATAGGGAAATAAATCGGGAAATAAATCGGGAAATAAATATGGAAATAAATAGGGAAATAAATAGGGAAATAAATTAGGGAAATAAATCGGGAAATAAATAGGAAAATAAGTAGGGAAGTAAATTAGGGAAATAAATCAGGGAAATAAATAGGGAAATAAATAGAGAAATAAATTAGGGAAATCAATAGGGAAATATATAGGGAAATAAATAGGGGAATAAATAGGGGAATAAATAGGGAATTAAATAGGGAAACACATAGGGAAATAAATAGGGAAATAAATAGGGAAATAAATTAGGGAAATAAAATAGGGACATAAATAGGGAAATAAATAGGGAAATAAATAGGGAAATAAATAGGGAAATAAATAAGGGAAATAAAATAGGGACATAAATAGGGAAATAAATAGGGAAATAAATGAGAAATAAATAGGGAAATAAATAGGGAAATAAATTAGGGAAATAAATAGGGAAATAAATAGGGAAATAAATAGGGAAAAAATAGGGAAATAAATAGGGAAATAAGTAGGGAAATGCATAGGGAAATACATAAGGGAGATAAATAGGGAAATCAATAGGGAAATAAATTAGGGAAATAAATAGGGAAATAAATTAGGGAAACAAATTAGGGAAATAAATAGGGAAATAGGGACATAAATTAGGGAAATAAATAGGGAAATAAACCGGGACATAAATTAGGGAAATTAATAGGGGAATAAATAGGGAAATAAATAGGGACATAAATCGGGAAATAAATCGGGAAATCAATAGGGAAATAAATAGGGAAATAAATAGGGAAATAAATTAGGGAAATAAATTAGGGAAATAAATATGGAAATAAATAGGGGAATAAATAGGGAAATAAATAGGGAAATAAATTAGCATAGGGAAATAAATAGGGAAATAGGGAAATAAATAGGGAAATACATAGGGAAATAAATAGGGAAACAAAAAGGGAAATAAATAGGGAAATAAATAGGGAAATAACTAGGGGAATAAATAGGGAAATAAAAAGGGAAATAAATAGGGAAATAACTAGGGGAATAAATAGGGAAATAAATAGGGAAATAACTATAGGGAAATAAATTAGGGAAATAAATTAGGGAAATAAATAGGGAAATAAATCGGCAAATAAATAGGGAAATAGGGAACTAAATCGGGAAATAAATCGGGAAATAAATCGGGAAATAAATCGGGAAATAAATTAGGGAAATAAATAGGGAAATAAATAAGGGAAATAAATAATTAGGGAAATAAATAGGGGAAATAAATAGGGAAATCAATAGGGTCTTAGGGAAATTCTTAGGGAAATAAATCGGGAAATAAATAGGGAAATACATTAGGGAAATAAATAGGGAAATAAATAGGGAAATAAATAGGGAAATAAGTATAGGGAAATAAATAAGGAAAATACATAGGGAAATAAATAGGGAAATAGGGAAATAAATAGGGAAATAAATCGGGAAATAGGGAAATAAATTAGGGAAATAAATTAGGGAAATACATAGGGAAATAAATAGGGAAATAAATAGGGAAATAAATAGGGAAACAAATAGGGAAATAAAAAGGGAAATAAATGAGAAATAAATTAGGGAAATAAATCGGGAAATAAATCGGGAAATAAATTAGGGAAATAAATAGGGAAATAAATAGGGAAATAAATAGGGAAATAAATTAGGGAAATAAATTTGGGAAATAAATAGGGAAATAAATAGGGAAATAAATAGGGAAACAAGCAGGGAAATAAATAGGGAAATAAATAGGGAAATAAATTGGAAAATAAGTAGGGAAATAAATAGGGAAATAAATAGGGAAATAAATCGGGAAATAAATCGGGAAATAAATAGGGAAATAGATTAGGGAAATAAATAGGGAAATAAATCGGGAAATAGATCGGGAAATACATAGGGAAATAAGTGGGGAAATAAATAGGGAAATAAATAGGGAAATAATTAGGGAAATAAATAGGAAAATAAGTAGGGAAATAAATTAGGGAAATAAATCAGGGAAATAAATAGGGAAATAAATAGAGAAATAAATTACGGAAATCAATAGGGAAATATATAGGGAAATAAATAGGGGAATAAATAGGGGAATAAATAGGGAAATAAATAGGGAAACACATAGGGAAATAAATAGGGAAATAAATAGGGAAATAAATTAGGGAAATAAAATAGGGACATAAATAGGGAAATAAATAGGGAAATAAATGAGAAATAAATTAGGGAAATAAATAGGGAAATACATAGGGAAATAAATTAGGGAAATAAATAGGGAAATAAATAGGGAAATAAATAGGGAAATAAATAGGGAAATAAATCGGGAAATAGATCGGGAAATAAATCGGGAAATAAATAGGGAAATAAATTAGGGAAATAAATAGGGAAATAAATTAGGGAAATAAATTAGGGAAATAAATAGGGAAATAAATAGGGAAACAAATAGGGAAATAAATAGGGAAATAAATAGGGAAAAAATAGGGAAATAAATAGGGAAATAAGTAGGGAAATGCATAGGGAAATACATAAGGGAGATAAATAGGGAAATATAAATAGGGAAATAAATTAGGGAAATAAATTAGGGAAATAAATAGGGAAATAAATAGGGAAATAGGGAAATAAATAGGGAAATAAATTAGGGAAATAAATAGGGAAATAAATAGGGAGTAAATCGGGAAATAAATCGGGAAATAAATAGGGAAATAAATAGGGAAATAAGTAGGGAAATAATTGTAATAATTTGTAATAGGTCTCATTGGCTGCGTTGTGCCTGAGGCAGAAGGATGGTCATTTGATCTATGATCAGAGAGTTGCAAACTTCTACTAATTAACCTCTTCAAGATCGGCAGCATCCTTTTCGAGCCAACCTTGGGCTGATGCATATGAATTACCAGTGGCGCGTCTCAGAAATCTTGTGGCTGTACTAGGAACGATATTTCCGGTGAATTTTCATGCCTCTAGCTCTGAAGTCACCCCGGTCTGGTCGACCAGTGTGTCATTGACAGGAGGCAATGCCAGCCTTCGTTGCTATGGTGACCATGCCCTTCACTTTCAGCATTGGCTACGGCATCATCGCAGGTCTTCTCCTGTGGACTCTGGGCATGGCCACAGCCTTGCAACTTTCTATTTTCCTGGAAGATCCAGTTGTTTACACATACCATGACATGGAAAGCCACCACTTGTGGGCTGTTTCAATCTGACTTTCATTTTCTTGTTTGCCTTTGCGTACCTGCTTGGCAAAGGATTGCTATTCAGCTCTTGTTGGCTCCCCTTCGCCTTTGGAGATGCTCAGTTGCATGGGACATTCAGCTAGTTTTTCATGATTTTTCATGGAAATTTACGGAGACTGCTCCACAGTGGTACTGCTTCCGTTTCCGCCAGGAAAAGAGGACCCTTTGATGCGCTGCAAGGCTTTGTGGGCTGGAGTCTTTGTGGAGGGCATCGAGGAAGGTGACACGCCACTCAGTGACAAGGACACCGATCTTCCCTCTGAGAGCTCCCTCCCCCATCAGCTCCCATGAGATCCCATGAGATCCCATGATCCCAAGATCCCATTTCTCATCCAATCTCTGGATATCGCACTTTTATGCACTTTTGGAGAAAGTGCTATGTACAGCAGAGATCAGCAGAGTGTGCAGCTTGCATGCGCCATCTTGGAGGCTTGTCGCGACAGCTGTATCCGGGGTATCCGGGCACCAACAGGCTTTCCCGGTCTGTGTCTAGGCCCCCTCCAAGAGAAGGCAGAGAACGCTTAGAAACTTCTTGCGGTAAAGCCCGTGAGGTCAATCATGTACAGGGTGTGATCGCACAATGCACCACCATGCAACACCCATTGAAGATATTGAAGAGTTTAAGTCAGTTGAGGAACTGGCAAACAGCACCTTCCGGCTGCTTGGGATTAGATAGTGTTCAAATGCCACATTCGCAATCTGTCAGATGCATCAGATGCTATTTCCAGTCGATTCTGCCCCATTTTCACTTCGCCGGTCGTGGACGGCCATGAGTCGAAGATAGCTGGCAATGTGGTCTTCGACTCATGGCCGTCCACGACCGGCGAAGTGGAAATGGGGCAGAATCATGTTTAATCATGTTTAATGATGTTTAGTCATGTTTAATCATGTTAATGTATATATATATATATAATATATATATTATGTATATTTAACATTCTATTCTTTTGGTCACTAGGATAAGGTACCAAGTTTTGATCCACACCCATATGCACTGGAGCTTTCATCGCGGAAGTTATGTTGGAAACGAGTTATGTTGCAAATTTTCATTAGACATGTGACGTAAAAAGGACCACTCATTTCTACAGTAGGACTGATGCATTGCCCCTCTGCATACTGCAGCCGTTGCAGTTCATCAAACGGACGTTTTTGCGGAGACAACTCTTCAGACGGACATGTCGGAAATGACTGGAGTACGAGAGTTCGAGGAGCCAGTGAAGAGCATGAAAACCAAGAAACCGTCGATGCTGGAGTTCATGGGCCTTGCAGGTCAGCAATTGGATTAATAATGATTCAGAGGATACAATAGGATAAATATACAAGGGATCATTGGATATCATTGGTATACTGATACTGCATGATATATATATATATATATATGTATATAGGATGATATAGGCATAGGCTGTACATAGGCAGTTGCCAAATAATCTCAGTCCATGCTATATACCATGCCCTAATTTGTTCCTCAGCTCGCTATGCAAGCCCGTCAGGCAATTTCGGACATCTCAACCTGTCGGATCCTTTTGATGTCAAGAAGCGACGATCCACCTACATCACGGAGATCCGTGCAGGGATTACCACTTTCCTGGCCATGGCCTACATTCTTCCAGTGAACAGTGGCATGTTGAGCTTGGTGATCCCCGGCAAGCGTGAAGAACTTGTTTGTGCCACAGCGCTTGCAGCATTCTGTGGTTGCTGGTTGATGGGCATCTTGTCCAACTACCCTTTCATGCTTGCACCAGGACGGGAACTAGTTATGCTGTCCGATTGCAGCACTAGCATTGGTCTTGGGGCATACATGTTTTATACCCACGGGAAAATCAAAGGCAACCCCGTGCTGATTCTATGCCTAGAGACAAAATTGAAGATGATACAGATTGCCTTCAGAACCAAGTGGATTTTCTGTGATAGCAGCTGGTAGAGCAATGGACGTTCAGAGTGGAAGTGTATTCTATCTTGGTCTAGTTCTTACATGCACAGGACTAGACGTTCCAGATTTTGAAAAGTCATCGATGTATCAGAACCAGATTGACTTCTCCATCTACAAAAAACATGAGCAAAGATTTTGAGGCAGAGTAGGTGGACGATGGTGGACGACTTTTCAACGTCTGGAGGAATGGGAACGAATGCGTTCTTCACCTTCACCATCTGCTTGGGACGAGGCTTACCATACGAGGCAGCCTTTGCAGCGGTCTTTGTGGCTGGCTGCATCTTCATCCTCTTGAGCATCACCGGATTGCGGACACTGATGATTCGCCTCTTCCCGGAAGGTGTCAAGGAGAGTATCTTGCCAATGATGAGGGAAACGCATGGAAAAGCGAGGTTTTTTTTGAAGTTGTTTGAGGTTGCGGAGATTTCTTTTCAGCGATTTCAGCGATTCAAACTTCTTACAGACCGAAGTTCTGGTGACCAACCGGGGAGCCAAGGTATTGGTGCTGGTGTTGGCCTTTATCTGTGCTTCATCGCATTCCAAAGCTCCGAAGGCACCTTTTTTAACAATTTTAACAGATGCACTTGAGGTTTTTTAAGGACATGGACGGAGTGAACTCACCATCGCCTAACACGGTGATCATCTTTAGGTGATCCAAAGGTATCCAAATTCTGCGACACACTGCATACATCTGCATACTGCAGCTGTTTGAAGCTGTTTGAAGCTGAAGGCATGGGTCTTTCCGTTGCAGATCCTGAAACTCTGGTGACCTTGAACTCATTGAGCCCCAGCAACTACGACTCGGCCAAGTCACTTGGATTGACCCCTTCCATGAGCGTCCTTGGTAACAATGAAAACCAGTTGCTTTCTGAATATCTCTGAATCATTCTGAATCATTCTGAATCCATATTGCCAGGATTTGCCAGGAAACTTTGCTGTTCCGGGCTGTTCCGACAAATCTCCTGGTTTCAAGGCTGTGGCTCAGCATTGCAGTGCTCTGCGTCACTGCTACGCTGCTTGGCCGCACTCTTGGTGGACTTCAACAGGAGGCTGGTTTTGGCAGTTCACAGACCTCTCTTTGCCAATTGATTCCTAGATGACGAGGCTCCAATTTGATCCAATTTGCATCAATCGTGCTAAACCATGGCTTTCGCAGGTATACATTAGAGTCATTAGAGGCTAGGAATCTTGAACTATACACAATCACCAATCATTACCTTTTTACTGATAGGACCAAAATCAGCCATTGCGAGCTTGAGGATAATCCATCATGCGACCATGCGACTTAAGAACAAAGCCAGGCTGGTTGTGGATAATAGGGATCATAATAGGGCTGATTAGACTATAGACATTGATTGCTGAAATGAGAGGATAGCAACCGCTGAACAGGGCGCTTTTTGAAGAACAGTTTCAATGACCCACATACACCATGCTCATTGTGGTCCATGGGAGAACTGCCACTTCTTTTATGAATGCCGTTTCACGAAAGAAGGGTGGCACGTAGTGACACGTCGTCCATAGATGTCCATAGATGTCCATAGTGGATCTTCTCTTCCTTCTTAACTCGATTTTTCCCAATTTTGAATTCAACACCGCTTGATGTGCTTCATGGTTTGGTGAAGCTGAGGCTATTCGCAGCGAAAGTTCCTGGGGCTCCATTGATGGGTATCCTCTTTGGCACGGCCATCTGCTGGATTGAGGGCTTTTGCCGCGGCCCTGAGCATTCAGTCTTCGGCTATCCCTTTGGCACTGATGGGGACAGGTGGGACATGGGGTTGAGATGGGTTGAGGTTGTCAGTGCGAGGATTTCTTGTCCGACAGAGGGGATTCCAACCTATACGGAAATGATATCCACAAGGGTGGGAAATGGGTCATTCCGACCCCTTAAAGCACCTACTTTACAACCCTTGAAACTGGAGTGTTTTGGAGCAACCCTGTTGAAACGATGATTCGACCAATTGAACATGTGAAATCCAGCAGGTCCGCGAAGGACTTCCACATCTATGTCCCTACAAGTATTGTCGCCGCTCCGTCTTTGACTGGTCTCTCTGGTTCGCTTTGGAACGGTTTTCATGCAGCAGTCGACCCCGCCACGGCCGCCACATTCTGGACTGCTGTGGCAACATTCTGCTACACCGAAGCTGGGATGGTTTGAACATGTTTGAAAGGGATAGGATTTGGATGGATTTGGTGCAGAGTACTTCACCTGGTGAATCTTGGTGAATCTTGGTACCTGCAGTATCCCATAGTATCCCCCAATGCCTCCATTGCGCACCCAAGCTACATCACACCATCACGGCCTCCAAGGATTTGCTGGACTCATCAGGCACCTTCTTTGCGGTGGCGAAGGTGGCAGGATTAACCGATAAGCGCGGCAACTTGCCCTTGGCCCGGCAGAACATGGTGCCTCGGTGAGTGTCTCCGTTGTCTGTTGACTACCAGACTCGCACTGCTCCAGCAACCTAGAAATACCTAGAAATACACAACTGGCCTCTCCAAGTGCGTATTGACAAGTTGACCATTCTCTTAACATTTGCATTTCAGGTGGAGTATAGACATGTATGGACCTTTGATTGAAAGAATTCAGATGGATTTGCATTGTACGTGATGCATGTTGAATGCTCAAGTGCCATTCCTGTTTATAGCGAGGCTGAGTCAAACCTCCGCAGTCCTTCGAATTTAGGTGTGCTTCATCGGAAGGTTTGCCTCGCAGAGGTATTCCTTTCATTAGAGAACATGTCGTGAAATATACTAGGGCCCATGGGACGTTGGACACTGTGTCAAGATTATGATTTTGAAGGATAAGATGGAATGAACTTGAATGAAATTGGCCAAGTGTCATCCTTTTCTATCCATGAGTGTGCCATGTTTATATATGTTTATCCTCCATTTCCTCCACTTCCACAGCTTTCAATGTGGGGCCATGGATCCAAGGCGTACCTGGCCGACGCCATCGCAGCGCTCATCGGCTCCATGTTGGGTGTCTCCACCGTGGCCACCTTTGCCGAATCCACCGCGGGAGTGGCCGATGGCGCCAAGACAGGACCGGATGATGGATGATAGTGACCTGATAGTGTTTTGTTGGAGATTTGCAAAGCATCAAATAGATCTGAACAGATAAAAGCTGGAACCCATCTTGTGCCGATTGAGAACAGAGATTGAAGCGTGAACTTTTGAACTTTGGGCCGATGTAGCTGGGATTGGGTGCCAGGCTTGGCGTCCCTGATCACGGGCACGTGCTTCCTGCTGGCCATTCCCATTGCACCGGTGGTCTCAGCCGTGCCGCCCTTGGCGTCTGGACCCATCTTGTGCCTACTGGGTGCGCTGATGTGCAGTTCGGTGAGGGGCATTGATTGGGATGACTACCAGGAGCGCCAGAGCTGTTGGACAACTGCTGCAAAGGTATTGGGACAAGATGGGATAGGGTAGTTGTAATAATTTGTAATAGGTTTCATTGGCTGCGTTGGGCCTGAGGCAGAAGGATGGTCATCTGATCTATGATCAGAGAGTTGCAAACTTCTACTAATTAATTATATAACCTCTTCAAGATCGGCAGCATCCTTTTCGAGCCAACCTTGGGCTGATTCATATGAATTACCAGTGGCGCGTCTCAGAAATCTTGCGGCTGTACTAGGAACGATATTTCCGGTGAATTTTCATGCCTCTAGCTCTGAAGTCACCCCGGTCTGGTCGACCAGTGTGTCATTGACAGGAGGCAATGCCAGCCTTCGTTGCTATGGTGACCATGCCCTTCACTTTCAGCATTGGCTACGGCATCATCGCCGGTCTTCTCCTGTGGACTCTGGGCATGGCCACAGCCTTGCAACTTTCTATTTTCCTGGAAGATCCAGTCCTTTACACATACCATGACATGGAAAGCCAGCACTTGTAGGCTGTTTCAATCTGACTTTCATTTTCTTGTTTGCCTTTGCGTACCTGCTTGGCAAAGGATTGCTATTCAGCTCTTGTTGGCTCCCCTTCGCCTTTGGAGATGCTCAGTTGCATGGGACATTCAGGTAGTTTTTCATGATTTTTCATGGAAATTTACGGAGACTGCTCCACAGTGGTACTGCTTCCGTTTCCGCCAGGAAAAGAGGACCCTTTGATGCGCTGCAAGGCTTTGTGGGCTGGAGTCTTTGTGGAGGGCATCGAGGAAGGTGACACGCCACTCAGTGACAAGGACACCGATCTTCCCTCTGAGAGCTCCCTCCCCCATCAGCTCCCATGAGATCCCATGAGATCCCATGATATCTCATGATCCCAAGATCCCATTTCTCATCCAATCTCTGGATATCGCACTTTATCGCACTTTTGGAGAAAGTGCTATGTACAGCAGAGATCAGCAGAGTGTGCAGCTTGCATGCGCCATCTTGGAGGCTTGTCGCGACTGTAGCCGGGATTATCCGGGCACCAACAGGCTTTCCCGGTCTGTGTCTAGGCCCCCTCCAAGACAAGGCAGAGAACGCTTAGAAACTTCTTGCGGTAAAGCCCGTGAGGTCAATCATGTACAGGGTGTGATCGCACAATGCACCACCATGCACCACCCATTGAAGATATTGAAGAGTTTAAGTCAGTTGAGGAACTGGCAAACAGCACCAAAGTATACCAAAGTATCAGAACGCCTGTGAAAGGAGGAAGTGTTTCTGGCTGCTTGGGATTGGATAGTGTTCAAATGCCACATTCGCAATCTGTCAGATGCATCAGATGCCATAAAACGCTGCGGGAAGACTCCGCCGCTGTGCGTGATCACGGCATTCAGTCTGCATATCGAACATTTGAGCGACTGCAATCACTGCATATCACTGCAATCCGTGATTTTGCACAATTTCGTCCGCGAGGAACATGGTCTTCGAGGGCTCGTGTCATCCTCAAAGATGGTTCCGCAAAAGGATCGGTTTGCATGAGATCCTCGCGCAGAAATCCCAGATGAGACCATAGACAGAGCCTTTACCTAAGAGATCATAGAGATCTAGCCGAATCTAGCCCTGGCAAACGAGAAACCGTAACCATGTGCCTTGGTCTATAGTCTATAGGAATGATCACACCCTCGACTTTGAGGCGTCTGGGCCGGTGCATTCGGCGGCGGCAACAGAAGGCAAGGAACCGGTCACAATGGGTGGTGGTGTGGTGGCACGATCTTTGAGTCTGATGAGGGATGATCCACATTGGGTCAATCCAGCTACTTGTACTACTTGTAGTATCATTAGTATCTAGTAGATATAGTGGATAAGTCAGACGGTTTAGATTTGACAGTCCAGAAACGTTCCATCACTAGAGCAGTGAAGCAAATCGATGGATGACACCGCCAGCTGAAAGCGTCAAGTGCCCTCACGACTTGTGGAGTCTTGTTAGCATCATGGCATTGCGCAGCATGGGATTTCTGCTGACCTTTTTGGTCACTGAGGGCTCAATGCGGAACGATGACTTTCCCTTCTACTACCTGGGAACCGTGCCAGCGTGGCGTGACTTGGGCTCTCTTCGTGGGACCCAGTCACCACATCAGTTCGACAAGGGAAAGTACCACAAGCAGTTGAAGGAACTGGATATCGAACATTTGTACCAGTCCATTTCCAAGTTGATGAAAGACTCCAAGGCATTTTGGCCTGCTGATGGTCCTCAAGATGGTGACGTTGCCAGCTATGCTGGCCTCTTTGAAAGGTTGGCATGGCATTGCTCTGGCACCTTGCGTGTGGTGAATGGCACAGCAACTGGTGGCTGTGAGGGAGCAAGACAACGTCATTGGCCAGAGAACGAATGGCGAGACAATACCAATCTGGACAAAGCTCGTGGTTTGCTTGGCCAAGTGAAGCACGAGTTTGGATTCCAGATCTCTTGGAGCGATCTCATCACATTTGCAGGTACAACTGCCATCAAAGCCAGTGGAGGGCCAGCAAAGAAATTTTGCTTCGGTCGAATTGATGATGTCGATGGCAAGAGATCCATTCCACTTGGAGTGGAGGGAGTGAAAGAATGTCGTGGTAACAAGTTCTGCAAATCGAACTTTGAGTGTCCCATTGCATTCCGCTGGCCAGAACAAGACGAAGATGACCATTCTCAATGCAACTTGACACAGCCAGATCATAGACTCCAGGCAAGCCATTCCGTGGGTTTAATCTATGTCTACCCAGAAGGGCCAAAGCTCAAATCCTCTGCCAAGGGATTCGCTGAAAAACAGGTACACAACCGTTCCCCCGGGTTGAGCGCATTGGAAGTACGGGATACTTTCAAGGAGCGCATGGGTTGGACAGACCGTGAAACTGTTGCTTTGATTGGCGGTGGGCACACCCTGGGAAGAACTCATGGCAACTGCAACCTGACTGGCACCAAATGGGCCTCCCACCCTTACAACGATGTGGGGCCTTTCTTCGAGGCCCAAGCAGGTTCGCTGAGGGGTCCAACTGACGGCACCTGTGGCAAGGGAGCTTCAGCTGGCTTGGCTGAGAACACCGTTTCCTCTGGCTTTGAAGGGCCCTGGGCCAGGACTCCATCGCAGTGGAACTATGACTTCTTTGATGCCATGCTGGCTGAGGACTGGGAGCCGGTGAAAAGCCCTTTCGGTGCAGACCAATGGCGCACCAAAAACCGACAGAGTACCTATGCATCGACCATGCGCCTGACAGCAGACCTATCTCTCATCAATGATGACACATATGCGGCCATTGTGAAAGAATATGCTGCAGACCATGCAAAGTTTGATTCAGACTTTGCAGATGCCTGGTACAAATTGGTGCATCGTTCTGAAGATAACCCAAATGAGAATGACCTTGAGCGCAAATTCGGAATTTGCACTCATTTTGAGTTTGTCAAGTGAGGCTCAAACATCATGTACAGACCCAGACAAGGGTATCGGAGTCTTTGAAAGAATCCAATGGATGAACAGTGGTAAAGTATGCAATTGTCCGTTGTTTTCTTCGCTGTTAAGATGTCACCCGACGCTAGGCCGCTGGATTGGACATTTGTTGTATGCAGATGTATAAGGAATTTCCCACGCTTGAAGGGGCGTGACAGAGTCAAGTTCAGCACCATTTGTGTGGTCGCCTGAAAAAGAAGAATTTGGGCGGCGCAGAATGTCCTTCACCTCCTTACCACAGCTTGTTTTGAGACTCTTGGACTTTCCTACCTGAAGAGACCGTTTTCTGAACCTGCAGGGCAGCGCGGCAAAGTTAAATTTGACTGCGGGGGTACTCAGCATGCGGGAGAGTCCTTCAGTCGTCCTGTTGCACCTCTAAGGTAAAGCATGCCACAAACATCCTTGTCGCTTACATCATTTGGTCAATTCCCAATGTAAAAGCCTAGTTTTGTTTGTTGCATGTCGAATCATGTCACATGATGTCGCCATTTTTTCTTATTGTTTCCTTTCCCAGATCCATCCAGATCCATCCAGATCCATCCAAAGGTGGAGATTGTTCCTCGAGAAGTCGCTGATGCGGCCCCCACCATCACTGGCGTCTTTGCGCCTCCGAAGGCCCACCAGCGATCAAAATAGCTGCTGTCTATGTGGAAAAAAACATCCCCGCCATTGATAGAATGAATTAGACCATAGACCCATCCCAACTGGGGATGGTCATTGGATTGAGAATAGCTATGACTGCCTGAAAAAAATCACCTGTGGGAGGGGGAGACGTCCGCCAGTCCGCCAGGACAGATTATCCATCCAGATGCTGGTTGGAGACTCAGAGCCAGGATGCGCATGGGAACATGCGCAGCTGTCAGCGACCTCACGACATGCAAACGATATCAGGCACTTGTTCTAGACTACCACAAGCTAAGTCAACCTATGAACCGTCAGGCTTTGCACACATTGAAGCCTCGCATCAAAGGAATCTCAACAGCGAATTTGTCATGCTCTGAATCATTGCCTTGGTTCATGATAAAAACAGGGACACTTTGCAATTCCACTGTTGCATGGCTTGGAGTAAAGTGAGTATACATAGTCTACTTTCACTCCCTCTTGAAAAGGCCAGCACTTGACTTCTGTGATTCCAGTTGACCCGTGGTCCCGTGGGAATGGGAGATGGACCCGGGAGGCAACGAACCCTTTGAAGTCGATTCGGGTGATACTTGGACCAAAGTTGTCAGGGGCTGAGTGGATTCGGGGCACAGAGCCGGCAATGCCGTTGAACCTGTTGGTTTTCTGTTGCAAATTGAAGAGCTAGTTACCAGCCAATGAATGCGGCTACAAAGTAAATCAGGACAAGTCGTGACAAGTCCTGAATTTGGCAATCACTGCAGTCGTCATCTTTTCCTTGGTCTGCAAACTTCCTTTGATGTTCATGTAACATCATGTAACATCCTGTAACATCCTGTAACATGAGGTTCAATCTCATCATTGTCGGCACCTTTTTGGGATGCTCAACGATCACAGTATGCCTGTACTGAGCTTATGGCAGCGCTCCAGACACTTTTAGTATCTTTTAGTCCCGACTCTTCGTAACAACCTCATAGGCCTGGAGGCAGTAACTTTTAGACATGTACGATCACAGATTCGAAAGTGAAACGACATCTTGTGCCTTCATTGCCAACTTTCCTGCAGTGTCAAGACATCTGATCTGAGACTTATCTAGTAATTTTCTAGTGATAGGTCATCATAGGTCCAGTAGAAGCAGCTTCTCATTAGACTTCCATGGGATTCAACCGCGCTCCCAGTGTCATCCTGACGATCTTCCACACGCAGCAAATCGTTAAGGCTTCCGAAGCTTGAGGCAGCGACGTGGCGGTTGTAATTTCGTTGGTAGAAACGATTGCAAGCCGAGGATAGCATAGGATACCCATGGGGAAGTGGATTTTTGATGATTTTTGATGATCTTTTATGATTTTTGGATATTCTATGATATTTTTGAATCCAGCTGGAGAAGAAAGAAAGCAGCGGCATCCCATCAATGCTGTGATTCGGGAAATTTGGATCCTTCACCTTGTGGAACATCTTGGACCTTGCACGGCATATAGTTGCATGTTGTTGCTGGGTGAATGACATGGGGAGTAGCCTTGCCATGCTTCAGAATGACTTAAGCTGGTTTCTCGTCAGGCTTGCAAAGTGAGACAACGCAGCGTTCTGAGTCCATCAGGCCCTCCAACATGAAGTATTGGCCTGCTGTGTGGGAAGAGACCCAGAAGAATCTTCCAACATTCCTTGATTCAGTCAGAGTCAGAGTCACTTCAGCAGACTTTCAATTGCTTCACTGGAGAAAACGGAGCAGACATCTGGTCAAAAAAGCGACGCGGTTTCTGCTATGCAAAGGATCTAAGCTGAAACTTCGATAAACTTCTCGTGGCTATCAGTTTTCTCCTGTCCATCGCCATGCTTGAACCCACCAGCACTGGTGGCCGGTATGGCATTTGTGATGTCAGGGTACAAAGTTACAGCGGCACACCTTAGCCCGCCTCGCCCAAAGGCTTCCCATGAGGCGCGTGAGAAATGCGTGCTGCTACGGACAGACCAGCGATTTCCCACGAAGGAGGACACATGCTCTCGGTGTAGAGTGATTACATGTACTTCCAAAGGACATCACCTGGCACCGCTACGTCCTGCACCTTGATCTCAGTACTATGTACAGAAGCCACTTTTGGTTCGAAACCAACGAAGAAACTACAACATTTGACGTCAAAGGTGTCTGAAATCCCATTCTCCCCGAGTATTCTGAATTCCTTGTCTATAGATGACAGGGTGTTTGAAACAAAAAACGATTGGACTCTGAAAATTTCTGCTATTGTGATTTCAAGTTCTTTCAACGCGCGGCGGTGAGTCATGGAAAATACGGGCCCCCCGCGGTGCCGCTGCGCTGTTGCTCCAATGTGTTGCGCATGTAGCAGATGCCTCAGAATCCGAGATGCGGCGCACGGAAATGGCTTGCGACAGGATGTCTTATATAGATGCTGTATAGATGCCGTATGATTCTGTATAATGAATGCATATACATATATATAATATATTTAATATATTTAAATATATAATATATTTAATATATATATATATTATATAATGGTCCGTATGCACATTGTACATGTCATGCGAATTTCCCTTTTGACTCCGCCCATGATTGATGGGTCTGAAGGAATAGCTTCATCCATTTTCATGCTTCTATCTTTCCTGAAAAAATCCTGACAGAGGCGACTTTCATGTCATGCTGAAGCCGTGGCCAAGGCTAAAACCATGGAAGGAGCTGAACGACAAGTTTGACACTCAAAGCTGCAGGGAATCTCTTCAGCCACTTGAAACATCACCGTCACGACCCCTGCCACGTTGTCGGCAAATCATCCGTACAAGGATATTCATGATGCCAAGATTTCCAAGAGATGTCCGGAATTCGCTCAAAGCACATGATGATTCCTCAGATGTTACATCATACAATGTGTTCATACATAATCATAATTACATATTATATACATATATACCATATCATTATTCACATTGGCATGTATATATATAATATGTATGTAGTAATATACATTATAGTTATATAGATTACATAGATTCGATATAACTTATGATGAACAGATGAGATCCCAGTCTGCGTCTGAGGCTTCTCAGCCATCCCAATCTTCTGGCGGCCGAAATGACGAGGTGGCCGTACGAATCGGGCGATCGGGCGGGGCCATGCGGGGCCCCACTGCCAGGGTACCCTGGACCGAGTCAATTGCCAGGGTACATATGGTACATTACCACGTTGCCAATGCTTCCGCCATAGGGAAGTACACCCTTCCCTATCAAGAGTAATTGATTCAGCTCCCTTCCGGATCTACTGCTTGCCAGTTCGTAACGTAGTGAGTTTTGAAAGAGTATATTGATAGATATCAACATTGAAGAAGCAGATGTCTTTCACAGTCTCTCTCCCTTTTTCAGGACCAGAAAATCACCCATGTACCCAGGTCCCAGATCGATTCGCTGCACAGGCAGCTGGAGCTGGACAGGTCGGTTCTGCTGAGTTGGCAAAATGGAAGGAGATGATGGACCAGGGCATCTCCAGGTGACGGGTTGGCTGAGATGTTGGTTGGCTGATGGGTTGGCTGATGGCATGGTGGGACAAGTCAAGTTGGGTAAAGTTGAGGTGGCATGAGGCATCCATACGAGATTGAGTTATTGCTTTTTTTATCTGTTGGAGGGAGTTAACTGTAAGGCCCTGAATGGGCAAGGCGGCAACGAACTGCTTCCAAGACTGTGCTCAAGATGCCAAACGCACAATTCCTTCAAACTTTCATTGTGATTCAGCGTCATTGAGAATCAGGCACGCAGTTGTCTGCCAATCAGTTTTTTACGTGAGAATTTCCCAGGTAATTTCCACCAAAACATAGGATCAGGGTTTATCGCATCAGTCAAGCAACCACATCCAGCCCGGCTTCTCCAGCTGTCATCCCCAAAGGTACATGCGGGCCCATCCAGATCGCTTCCATCGCCGCGTGCGTCGTGGCATCCCCCCGGAATTCAGGCACAAACTGGTGATGTGAAGAGGAGACTCAAGAATCATATACCGGCTAATGATAACAAATGATGATAAATGATTCCAAGTGTAATCCTACTTGCTGATTTTGGCCCTTCGATGATTTCGTCTACTGTATCTATCTTTGTCCCGATTGCGGAGATGCTCCATCAGAGGAAACCACCTCAGGTGGCGAGTTTGGAAGGCTGCGGTGAGGTTGGAAAAGGACTGGCCCACATTGGAGTTCAGCACTCAGCGTGATGTTGCAGGGCAAACCAGGGTCTTGCCATTTTTTCTGGCAGCTTATCCCCATATGTCCCCCATAATAAGTCAAAAGTGGCTGGAAAATCCGGAGGGTACATAGTCCGCTTGAAGGCAAGATCCAACTGAGGATTGAACGCTTGTCACGTTTTCGTGACATCCCAATGTCATGAGCAAGCTAGGGCAGCTAGGTCGGTGTTAAGCAAGGCAAACATTAAGAACCTATCACCCATCCTAGGCGTGATGGGCACAGTGCTTTATCATGCTTTTTCGTTCCCCCATCCACATTTCTATCCACTGCCATCATTCAGAGAGAGTGCTGTGGCCACCTCCAATCTCTAGGCACCATCTCTGCGCGCCCAGTTACAAATGTCTCAGCGAGACGGAGAACCAGTGGACCTCATCCATTGTGATTGCTGGGGCCCAAGGTCCATGTTGGTAAAAGCCATGAGTTCATCGCGTTGCAGTCGCCCAGCACAAGGACGTGCCGCGGACCTTCCCGGACGTCAAGTCATTCAATGAGGAACAACAGCAGCTGCTTCGCGAAACATTTAGCTTTGGGCGGGTCAGAGAGGGTGGAACTGACCCATTTGTGGGATAAAAATGCAATGGCCATGGAAAAAAATGCACAGTCGTCTTCCCACGGAGTTGTTTTCCCTTTCCTCGCATTTTACATCAGAATCAGTGTTTGAGGTGGTCAATTCTTGAAATATGGGCTTCCTGGAAGTGGACTAGAGTGTTTGAATATGTTTGAATGCCAGAAGAATCTTTGACAGAAGGAAAAAAAATCATTGGCCTGAGAGTGCCTAAAAAATGAGGCATTGAAAAAGATGGATGTCGCTAGCCGCTTTTTGACTAAGGCGTCTTAAGCGAGTGCTCAATGCATATGCTGGTGGGGGACTTGACATGAATGGAGCTTTGGGGGTGAAATTCCGGCCAACCTCAGGCAGAAAGATCAACATATCATACAAAAACACCAACAATCATTGAAAGATCCCAACAATCATCTATAAACGCCATTCTTAGGCCTGAAGAGAATACACCTATATTGTCAGTTTGGCTTTGAAATTGTTTTCCTCTAACTTAACAGATACTTCATGTCACGGATCCGATCCGATCGTGCTTCGTAATCCATTTCGCGCATGTTCACTCAATGCTGCCTTTCCTTCCACATGTCAGTCACTAGTAGATCTGGGAATGGGTCAAACCCTATGACTCTATGACTGTTTTTTCGGGGGGATGGAGGATGAACATCCAGCGCAACCAGCGGATGTTTGATGTGAACTTTCCAGGGTAGCGTTTGGTTTTGATCCGTAGACTACCATACAGTTCTTGAGCTTCACTAAGGCTGCAAACCCAACATTGGCTATTGCCAGGCTGGGATGCGTGGGAACAGTAGCATAGTCACCAAGCCAAGACGTAGACGAAAAGTGCTTGTCATCAAATCAACAAGGGCGGCGGAATATTTCCCATGAACGGATGGTGCAAGCCCAGACTCTAGACATAATTCTTTTATTTTTTATGATTTAAGACGCATCTTGGATCAAGATTCTGGTGATCGTTGCAGCTAGAGGAGATATCTGTTGTGTATGCTGATGTCCTTACCAATGGGAGGATACCCATAAGATTGCCACTTTAAAGAAAAAAATCAGTCAAGCCCATGTATCTCCAAGAGAGTTGTGTGACTCCGAGTCACAGTAAAGACACGAGTTGCGTAAGTAAGGCCCACAATCCGAGAGAAAATAGGACGGCTGCTGTCCAGGGCATGAACTACGTGGCTGGATTGCTGCTTCTGGTCTCCCAAAACGAGGTGCCAAGACCATCGCTGGACCATGGTTTCCAGAGCTACTCCAAGCAGAGACTAAGTCTGATATTGCTATGATGGAAGACCTTTGGATCTGATGGAATCCCAATGAGTTTCACTGTTCAACGCTGTCAACGCTCAGGAGGAGAGCTTCTATGTGTTCAGCCAGCTGATGGACCACGAGGAGCATGGCAGAGATCGTCAGCACTTGCTTTTACACCTTACTTGTAGCAGCGCTTTTAAAAGATGTAGTTTCAGAATCTAAAGCATCTTTTAAGGTTTTTCCATGTCTTTCCCTTGAGGTCCTTGGTTTTGGGTCTTGGAATTCTTGGAATCATCGGCTTTTGTCCCAGGACTTTGGTCTCGTGGGCTTCTACATGGGAAAGCGTGGAATCCCGATGTGGAGCCAGTGGCTCCCCTCACTTTGGTGATGGCATTTGGATGACTAAGTAGTGTCTCAAAAAAGAACCCACCCCAACATACACCAACGGCATTGATCGGACACTGCCCAGGTTTTGAGATATTGGGGATGGGTGAAGACAGTGACCCCCCCCCTGATTGGCAAAGCTGAGGCTGCCATTGCTACGGCGCTACCTTCGTGCCTGTGAGAACTTGGTTGCCGAGTCCCTGCCAGAATTGTGCCTTGGAGCCATTCGAGCCAGCTCTTATAGTTCCTGATTTCTAGATTTCTATATGGGTTATAGATACTGATACTGACCAATATCTTGAGGATAATCATAATCTTGATCATAATCCATTAAATCCATGACGGGAAATCTTCTCACCCAACCAGTATGAACTCACTACACCACTACACCGGGTTTTGAACACTGCTCATGTGAAGTTCTAGAGCTTCCATAGAATAGGCCCACAGGTCAAAATGGTTAGACATTTGGTATAACTTAGTGACCTTTGCTCAGAGTTGAACATGTGAAAGTTATGTGGATGCTTCCCTGGAGTGTTCAGTCATCCGGGGATGGAGGTCATGCATCATGAATCAACAAATTTGGATAAGATATTCATAGATATTCATAGATATTCATAGATATTCATAGATATTCATAGATATTCATAGATATTCATAGATATTCATAGATATTCATAGATATGCTATATTATTCTATCAACATCTATCAACATTGAATGACCTGACTCGTACTCAACGGTGAAATCCCCACTGTTCCTTGCAGGTGACCAGGTCACATCAGGTCACTGTCCTGCCAAGGCGTGAACATTTCATCAAGCAGAATGTGCAGCCGGCTGTGTGCGGACCGTAGCTATTCCGAATGAAGACTTTTTTAAAGTTTTGATGATTTGATCTGCTAGTTTTCCAACGTGTTAAAACTCCAGCAATTCTCATCATCTCAAGGGTCCCAAGAGACTGGCCATTTGGCCATTTGGCCATTACCCATTCTCCCCGCAGCTGTGTCTAGTTAAACATCGTGTCTTTTCCGCGATAGAGCCATGGTGCGCTTGGTCTTGTGGACTTTGTTTGGCGTCTCGCTGGGGTTGCCACAGATGCCCCTGGAGAAACTCTGGCCGTGGATCAACCTTGTTGGTTCGTTGGGTGGGCGGATGTGAATGGGTTAGTAATGGGTTATCATAGTTGATTATGAGTTGATTATTATTAGTTGTTTGTTCCGTTCAACGGGGCATCAGGCTCAGTTGAAACATTGAAACGATATCTTATTATAGATCTTTATAAATATTCTAAATCAGATAATATCAGCCATTTGCAGCCATGATCCATGGCAGGGAAAGGTCCTGTAGCATAGGAAGCGGTGCAAAATGATCCTGGTAAAAGCCATGTTTCTGACGTTTTCTGAGCCACGTGTTTCCCAAGGATTCCTAAAGCTGCCAGGCATTTGAGGGGAGGGCTTTCAAGACGTGTCCGGTTGTCTTCGCGTGTCATTTTTTTTGTTTTCCATCATCCTGTCCCATCCGATGTTTCACCCTTGACGCCAAGGAATGCCAACATAAGCAGTTGTAGTATGAATGTCTCATTGCAGAAAGAGGGCTACCTTCATGACTGGTGCTCCGATGTCACCGACAAGGATTTGATGAGATACATGTGACCAGACTGTGGACGTGATTGTTGTCGCAAAGACGAAACTGTGTGACAAACAACATGTTGGTGACTGTTGGTGCAAGAAAGACCAAGACCAAACTAGCATAACTGCAGTAAAAACATGCATTTCTTGATGTGTGGCCAGCTCCACTGCGCTGGACAATGCTTGACCATTTTCCCTGAGAGGAGCGCTTCCCAGCGTGCTACCCCAATGGGGTCCCTAATTGGCATCCAGAACAAAATGTCATCGTGCGACTGCCAGATCCCAGCGGTTGTGCTGTGGCCACCTCGCCTGAGTGGGTGCCTTGCTTCAAAAGTGGCAGAAAGTCAGCAACAGATGTGTTTCCTTCATGGAACAGGGAATTTCATGGGATTTCCCCATGATTTCTCCCATTTTTCACCTGTTTTTCTCTGGAGAGTTTCAACCTGCCTTCCCTCCGAGGTCATTTCCGGGTGGTCGTGGAAGTATGTCCAGTTGGCTCCCTCTCAGTCCTTCAATCTCTCGATCAAAGACTCGGAACAAGGCTTTTTAAAGTTGATCCGCGGAACTGTTCTTGACGTCAATCAGATTGGCGTGCAGATGCTTGGATGTTATCTTGGCTGTTATGATGTTTTTTTTTTTAATGCTGTTCAATGGGGTTTTTATGAACGTTTCCAAACACGTCCAACACTATGACCCCGTACCTTAATGATATTTTTCCTTTGGATCCCTGGATCTCTCCAGGAATGACGAGGGTCACTGGGAGACCTTCGTGGTGACGCCGCCCAACACCGAGCGTAGCTTGCAGTTGGATCATCGCTTGAAGTCCGTGAAAGCAGGAGCTGAAGGTGGGCCCGACAGGGCCCGGTTGATGGTGGGGATTGAACCATCACTATGGGGGTTTACTGCAACGGTTTTAACATGTTTTAACCAACTAAATTGGGATACAATGGTATTTATGATATATAATATAATGGCTATTTATATTTACAACATTTTACAACCAATGATGAACCATGGTTGATAAACATGGTAACTCACCGAATCAAACCATGGGGATTCACCATCAAACATGGGAATGGAAGCGTCAACAATGGGGCTAAGCTGAGTTTGCACATCAAACGCCGCGGAGAAAAGGTGGAATTCTGGTGCTGCAATCCTTCATCAATTGATGGGTTCGTGGCTTATAGACAAATTCCTGAAAATGAAATGTCATCGATAGATTATGTCAATGGATTGGTTTAAGGAAAATTTGCAGGAAAGTCCCATATTTCATGGGAAAATCTATGGTTTCCTGTAGATTTTCCCTTAAACCAATCCATTGATTATGACCAATGAATGCAGTTGTTGGTGACGTAGGTGACCTCCAAAGTCTCCCGATCTCCCGTCCCAGTCGCACCCGTCGCAGAGTTGTGCCGTGCAGGTGCGGTTTTTGCGCTGATGGTGGTCCCGGTGGAACTGTTTGATGTGCCAATTACGGCAATGGATCAAGCACCAACCACTACCATCAGTGGCCCATTCTCAGAGAATTTCAAGTGGACCAGGCGGGTAATCCGACGCAACGCACAAGCCCCATCAAGGCCCTAGAACTCAGAGATCTCAGAGTAAGCCAATGAGTGTAAAGCCATTGGCCTGAGTCCTTGAGACTCATAAGCCGGAGGTATAACCAGGATTTTATTTGGTATGAACTCGACATTATAGATAGAGAGATGACCATCCTATACCATCCTAATGAATGTGAAGCAACGAGAGAGTTGTACTGATATCCATGGATACCATGAACCGACACTTGCGCAGCTGGCAGGTTTGCAAAGTATTATCCAGACGACTTCCCTAACACGCTGGAATTTTGGAACTTGGCCGGCATTCTGCTCCTTAGCTGCCAGCAAAATCAATGAGTCTTTTCTGCCCTTTGGTCTTCTGTTGTTGCCATACGAATCTGCAAAGCAGTCAATCCGTTGTCAGCAAATGGATCTCGTGAAAACATGGTTCACGGTTCAAGTCGGGTTGACGAAGCTTTTGATGAGTAGTGATACGTTTGGAAGAGCCTGGTTATCGTATGCTGTGTTTGTCCGCTGACAGCTTCATCGCCATTGGTCCAATCAGTGCGCATGGTCCCCCTAAGACAGGTGCACCACGGAGTACCAGTGACACAGACACGAAGAATCGATAACAATCGTCAGACATTATTTGTACATCAATATTTCATGGATTTGCTGTGGCAAGGCTGAAGGATGCTGGTTAGGCCTGGTTTAAATGGTCTCTCTTCCAGCAAGGTTGCAGGATCATCATGGAGAGCGTCTCAACTACAACCAATGGTGGACTCAGAAGCAGAATGACAACACCGATGGAGGCCTAGCGGGTCTAGTGGTGTCAGTGCCAACCTTTCCAATCTTTCCATGCTGCCTGCTTTCTGAAGCTGATGGTTTACTTTCGTGCCCTGCAGCATCACAGATATTGACAGTTGAGATTGCTTCGATAGTTGGCTTCCGACAGAATTAGATTGCATTGAGAGAGGATGAACCATTGACATATAATCCCTTCCCCCTAACCCATAGGATCCATGTATGGTATATATGCTAACATTGGGGGTATATTGATGGTAAATGTTACCATATATAGCACACATGGATCCTATGGGTAATACTAACCCCCCCCAGAATAATTATTGAGATAAACAGATAAAATCAGATAAACCCTGATGAAACAGTTGATATATCGAGGCACCAGATATCCGCAGGTGACCTCCCCGGGTCGCTCTTCGGGCAGGTTATCACAACCACACCGGCACGCCGGAGAATGGCACCTTTGGGGAGCTTCACATGGTGATGTACTCAGGTGCACCAAACACAGGTGGGGCATGGGGCTGGAAGGGGCTAGAAGCGCAGGATGACAAGCTACACAGGTGTGGATTGTTAATCTCAAGCCGTTCTCCAGAGGTTAGGACTACGTTGACTGGGCATAGAACATACAGATTTCCCCACAACTTCCCCGCCGCCAGGCATGATTGTTCAGCTGCCCCACACCCTCTATGCGGATACAGTCAAAGCTCCAGAGGATAGCGGTGAAAATTGGATCACCACTTGGGTGGATGTAGCTGACCACCTCAACCAGTAGGTTTAGGCAAGTTGTTTTTAACACGTCCAGTCTGCCAGGAAATCCCAGCGAACAAGAAGTTCTTCTGGAACCAACGCGACAATGATGCAGTGCAGTTCACCCTTCCGCTGCCACCAGGAGAAATGTTTGGTTCCGCCAGATTTGGCAAGTTCTGTCATGAGGCCAATATCGTCATACTTTTTCAACGCCCTTTTTTAAGAACACGTTTACCATTGTCTCCCTCATCCATTCAACACATCATTTCAGGATATTTTGGGATATAGAAATATAGTGAAATATATAGAATATGTCTGTCCATTTTCCATTCGAAAAGATTCGAAAAGGGGTTTCCGCTGCTTCTGTCTCCGCGGGATCCAGATGATCCATGATTCAATGATGATCCAGGATATGTGCACGGCCCACTTTGGTCCATTGATCCCGCCAATGGAAAGCCAACTCACGACTGCAACGGCGCGATCCGCTACCCGTGGCATGGCCTGGTGACGGGACCCATCAACGACAACGGTGGCTACTCGAGTCCGGGACGCTACACGTTGTGGGTGGTCTTTGAGCACGCCCCCGAAACGGTCAATGTGCCAACACCCATGTTGCAGTATGCAGCTAGATGGCAAACTGGGAGAACTTCATAGGTCAAACCTGAATAATGTAGTTGTAACATGTTGTAACATTATTTTGACTTAAGTATTGCATATCTTCTTGTTGATATGACGAGTTGACAGTTCCGCTATTTCATATTCCCATATATATATATTCCCATTCATTTCGGTCGTTTCGATTGAATACATTGTGGCTTTACGGTGGATATCTCAAAAAGGGACACCCGGTGGGGTTGGAGAATGAGGTGACCAATGCGTACCTCCAAAACATGGTGAACTGGCCGATTCCGGCCTGCAAGAGTGGCGAAGCCGCTGACGTGGACGAAACCGGTCCCTTGGATTTGCAGACCCAAAGAGCAACGGATTCGCAGAGCACTGAGAGCACAGCTCTGCTGTTTCGATGACTAAGGCCTGGATTCGAGCCATACCACTACAACTGTCTTCCATTTCATTGCAGCAACGCTTGCTTTGGCATGTTCCCTAATGTAAAGTCATGTAAAATCTATATATCCATGGTTCCAACTGCCAAGAGCGCAGTCTTTGCAGCATAGTTTTGGATGTCTCGGCTTGTTCTACTTGTGAATAATCTGCTGAGTCCTCCTCTGGTATAGAAGCGACTGGATGGATGATAGTCGTTACATGGTGATTGAAGTTGGCATCTCTTGACAGCAGTTCCCATGAGGATCTTGGTCAACAAGAAAAGGAAAAAGCGCGAAATCGGGTACCAAAGAGGAGTGTTTTAGTGCGTCCGATCATTGTTTGCCCAATGATTTTGCGAGCTTCGCATGTCTATGTGCACGTCCCAAGCGAATATATCTGAACTGAACACTCTTACAGTGATCAATTATATATATATATGTATTATATCAGGATATCATAATTGATGCACAGTGATGCACCCTGAAATTATCAAAAAAATGCTCCCAACATCGGTGAATGCAATCATGGTCTCTCTGCACGACTTCATGGAATTTGGGCTCGAGTTCTCTAAATCTTTGCCACAAGCGCATTTGTTAAAAGCGTCAAGTTTTGGACACTTTCAATGTCTAAACTCATCGCGTTTCTTTTGACCGTCCTTGCCGTCGGCAACGATCTCAATGAGCTTTTGAGCGTTGACGATTGCACAGACGACACTTGCGACCTTTCTTTGAGGCAGCTGCGTGGAAATGTGACCTCCCAGACCTTTGGTTGCTCTTGGTAATCCGTTTGGCTAATTTCACCATGCAAATTAGTGCCTGTACTTGTCTGACTTGTCCCTTCTCTTTTCTTTTCTTTCATTGTCTTTCTTTTCTTTCCCTTTCTTTCTTCTTTTTCAAGTTTTTTTTTTGAATTACAAAGGAATCCAACCAAAATATCCCAAAGTTGCTAGGAAGCATAGCTTGATGTGAAGCATGTCATGCGGCTCACACTGAGGAAAGCAGAATGGGGCAGTTGCAAATCCTATGGTTGTTCCACTCGCTACCAGCCTCATCACGGCTGTCAGTGCAACAGCCACGGGTCACAATTCAGCACATCTGACGTGTCCTGCAACAGAAACCGAAATTTACAGGCAATAATTTCACTCGTTGCACAATTCAACTTGTTTTTTTTCTAAGCTTTCCGCTTTCTGTTTTGCTGAAGCGCCCTTCTTTTGCAAAACTCCGACCTTTCAGAAGGATCGTTTCTTTTCCATGTCATTATAGTTGTCCCATGTTGTCCCCCCTGTGGTGGTGAGGCAAGTGCGAAAAATATGGCAACTGCTGCGCAGACATCGCCATTTGCTCCGCGGCCACCCCATCAGCTCCAGCATCAGCTCCAGCGGCTGCAGCAGCAAAGCCATCGGGACAAGTCTATGGACATCCGGACCCCTCCAAGGCGAGGGCTGGTGCTGTTTGGCCATGGCCATGGAGCATTTTTCGAAGGGATGAGAAGGGTCAAATGCTGGACGAAGGAAGTCTCCACTGTAGATGCTATTGGCAATGAAGCCACCACTTTACTGTCGTCATGTTCTTGGCTCAGTTTTCTTCTCAGTTTCCTTTCAGGTTTTCTTCGGTGTAATTCCATGTTATATTCTCAGAGCTAACGTTACGACGTTTGAAACATACCCATCTTGCAGCCACAATTCAAGAGTCTCCTGTGACATCCCAATGTAGCGAGCCGAAGCTGCTAGGAATATCCTGTCTACGATGGCTTCACACTGACCTTGGTTGAAGCTTGGCAAGCTATACTGAAATTGACTGCAGGTTGGGCAGCCTGTTTTCAGACCAAATACAGGCTTTGGTCATCTTTGGTCCAAGTTTTCCTTGGCTACATCATCGATCATCATCGAAAGCCCATGGTAAATGCCAGGATATGCCAGGAAATGCAGAGCGTTCTAGATCTAGAATGTGAAGCCCCCAAGATAGCTAAGTTGGTTTATAAGTCCAACAACTATGGTTTATGGTATTTTTTTCTTTAGTTGGATGGGCTTATAAACCAACTTATAACTGGGGGGGCCCACATTGTAGAATTCTATAGAATTCCAGATCTTCTTCCCTGACTCATCTGACTAGCTCTGAGGAGGAATTCAATGCCCCTCTTGATCTGGACACCGATCCAATCTGGACCTGGTCCGATGGTGGCCTCTACGAGGGCGACGTTCGTTTTGTCAAGGAACAGATCACCTTCTCAGATGGGAAGATGAAGATCACGGCCAAGCCAAATCCAGGCAGGGAAGAATGTGTTTTTTTTGGTTAGTTTGGGCAACTTCTGTTTGGGCAGTTTCTTTCAGTATGATTATAGTATATTACAATCTAATTCACGATTATCTCAGGTAATTCATATCAATGTTTGCTCTTCCAGTGGTGTTGAAGTCCCTTTCCGATTTGATCAGCTCAAGCTTCGCTCCAGGCATTGCAACCCAGAAATGCTCTCACGCTGAGGTGTCTTGCTTCAGAAGCTCAGGAAACATCGCTAACAACTTACTTGTAGGCCTTAGGCGATACCGATCAACAGCCAACACTGCTGGATTTCCATAACATTCAGTTATTATTTAATTATGAATATTTATGTTACTCTGACTCTACAAATTCAACATCAAACACTCAGTATGTATTGTTTCCCCAGCAGTTGCAATGCCATGGTTCCTGGCCGTTGCCGATAGTTTCCCTGCCAGCTCAGGTGGGCAACGTTGATGCGAAGCCCTTGGTCAGTGGAGAGATTCGCGCGCGGCGCAACATGTTCCGCTACGGCCGCTACGAGGTGCGAATGAAGGCACCAGATGTGCAGCCAGGGAACCCTGACATCGATGGCCACTGGGACTAGGGGAATGGGCGGGGAACGCAGCAATTCCGCAGCAAAATAGGGTGGGATGGATGTTGGGAAGAGTCATGGTTAGGACCACGAGGGTTTCTGTTTTCCGCAGAAATGCAAGGATTACAGTACATTTTGGTCATTTTTGGTGGGACCAGAAACACCTGAGGTAATTTTATCGCAACCATGTTTGTCTTCCGCGATGCGAAGTTTCTTGGCTGACACGGTGTTGACCAATGAATGACGGAGCACACTTGTTGACCTCAAAGGGAATCGCAAGAGATCTTAGTCCATGTTTGATTCAATAGACCGCTGTTGCCTCCATACATGCATGGTTTGGATCGATCAAAAACACTCCTGGAAGGACATGTGTGGTGAATGTGATGGCTCATATTGATTCCAATATGAGCTAGAAAATGAACATGCCCCAAATAAGTCAACAGATTCCACAGCAGCAGCAGCACTTGACGTTGGCGCCAGGTTTCATCACTGGAGAGAGATCGACATCGAGGCAGGGCAGTGGAGTGGTGAGCAGACAGATGGTGAGAATATGTGAGAATAGTGTTTTTTTTTTTTAATTTGTTTGTCAAGATCATTTGGCGGCAACAACAGGAAACCCAATGATATAGTACACCATTACTTGTCGGTTGCAACATTGAAGGTGTCCATTTCGTGGTCATTCCCGCATTCTCCGAAACATCCTGAAACCATGGCAGATGTGGCAGGTAACTGGTGATCGCAAAAACTCGGTCACGACCAACGTGCTGAGTGCGGACAACACCGATTGGTGGAGTACCCGAATCGCTTCCGCCAGAGAAACGACCTGCTCTGGCAACTCGGCCCTGAAGTAACCCTCCTTAAATTCTGAGATGGTCCATGATGATCCTCAGGTTTACACACGTCAATCTATCAAGCTCCTGGAGAGATTGGTAGATGGCATAGTGATTGATCTTAACTCAAGTTGGTCCGTGTAGAGGATGGAAAAAGTCCTGGAGACGTGTAAAAACAAGAGCTGTCGATGCTTTCCGCGACAGCTTCGTTCACCAAAGGCAACGCACGAGAAGAATTCCACACCTACGGATTCTTGGTTCAAATATGCATAGCTTATCCATGAGAAAGGTCTGGCCAGGGTTCTGTAGCTAGTGTTGCGGGAGCAACTGAAGATGAAGCAAAAAGATTGAGGGCCAGTCCTTGTGGACGACCCTTTACAAGGCAACCAACAACATCCAACAATGACAGAGCCAAATCACGAGAAGCACTGCATCGGTATTAAGGGTTGATGATCTCAGGATTCGAGTGGCTTCCAAACAAGGTCACCTGGTTCATCGATGGCAGGGTGGTGCGAACTCACTATGGAGGGCGTCCACCCATTCCCGACAAGTCAGCCAAGATCATGATGAACTTGTGGATCTTTGGACCAAAGGCAAATTTTGGAGGTAAGCAGATCCACAACAATCGCTACCCCATGACTAGCGAGTATGCCCCTTGGCCGAAACTGATGGGTTGGTTTTGAAAGTCAGAGTGTCCAAAACCGGCGATTTTTCGCAGAGTTCAGATGAGCGATATCCACGGAGTCAGGAAAAAATTGCTGTGACCTGACCTGTCAATCCTGTCCACTCCACTTGCGAGGATTGGTTCAGGTTCTACAAGTGGGATGGTGAGAGCACCTATCCCTGCATTGGATCTGGGAGCTGCCTGACGCATGATGATCGTTACTTAGATGGCAACAACCCTTGTGATGGACAGCCCATGGAGGGTACCTGGAAGGGCAAGGGCGCGTGCAAGGCTTCCTGTCGATAGAGATCGAAAGTCCAAGCTTTTGGCAGAGTTTGAAACAGCGCCAAATTTTCGCATAGCTGCTTCTGTGACTTTTGCTGCGATTGACTGGGATCTTCAGCTTTGTTTTAACCTTAACCGACTCTGCATGTATCGCGCGCATGTGGAAAGCACAAAATGGCCGAAGCATGCCGACATTGTGATATGGAGTGGATTTGCAGCTGTCCTTGCAATGATAGCATTGCTGAAATCAGGTTATGCTTTCATGATCTTTCAAGAGTGAACAACTCTCAATGGCAGTCACTCGCTGATTAATTAGAGCACTTGGCCCAACCGAGGTACTTGCACCAGTGGTTTCTAACCCTTTTCATCAACTGCTTCCCAATCTCCATGGCCGGGGTGCCCCAGAGCAAAAGCCGTGCCCTGTCGGACTTGATGATTGGCGAGCATGTTTGAGGCTGGCATAGGCTGGCTCAAATTGGGAGATGCCCCAACGTCCTGCAATTTTCATCAGACATGGGAGTTTTAAAATTTTAGATGATTTTAGGATATTTTAATTATATTTTAATTATGTCTAATTAGGCTTTCAATTTTGAGACATCCCCATTTCCAGTGTTCCAATCCTGTTCCAACCGCCAGGTCATGATCCTCTGGGATGTCATCATGTGTGAGGGCCTTCCTGTGATCCTCCGCATCGCCGTGTCAATCCTACAGGCGCAGTGATGTCGACTGTTGAGACTCCGGTATGAAGATCGGGAACAGCTTACCAAATTTCATGTTTTAACGTGTTTTAATATGTTTTTCAAAAGCCTTGGTGAAATGTTTTTTTTTTCCAAGGGCGCAAGTGTCAAAACCATTCAAAACCCGCACTGGGGATGGTTTGACCATTGTTAGACCTTCAAATATCATATATATCATCGACACAGATCTCCAAAAACTGCCGGCTGGCACCATGGCACCCAGCCGGGTAAAACCCGGTGCAGGTTTTGAAGGATTCCTTGCTGTCCATGGAGTTTGAGGCTCGTCAAGTGCTAGATGTGGATTGGTGGATATTGGTGGACATGGTGACAAAGAGACACCAGTGGTGTTAAAGAAATAAGTTCACTTTAAGCAAATTTAAGCAAGAATGGTGGGAAGACTTTCAGTATTTGTTCGAATATTTCGAATCTCTCTTCTTTTTCCACCTCTGGCAGGATTAAACGAGTGAGAACTACACAAATCTCAAAATGTTTCGAGATGGACCAACTGGAATCTGTTCAGAATTTCTCATGTGTTGAGAGCAACCGCTTGTCTCGTGGATCGCTGGGGCCTCCAGCAATATCATTCAATGTGGAAAGAGAGAAGGGGCAGGTCCATTTGACATTTGGAGCTGGCAGGACATCATCAAATTTTTCAAGATGATGAAAACTTACCACGATGAGGTTGGTCGGGGAGAGTGTCCACAGTTTTCATCCCTGGGTTGGGTACAAATTGATCATAGGGACTTTGTTCTGAAAGCGCATTGCTACAGCACCCCGAGCTTTGGGAATTCATCCAAAATCACAGGCAAACGGATTTCAAGGCATTCACCTAGGTGGGGTTTGAAACTAAGTGCATTCGCGACCGAAACTAACTCGGCAGATGTTCGAGCCATGGTGGCCATGCTTCCAGGACGGCGAGCTTTGCGCCGTGAAAATTGGTCAATTGTTGGGCACCCAGCTGTCCAGGTACTTCTGGTCACCGCTTTGTCGGCAGCGGGGATATTTGGGGATGGGGCTGAGGTTAATGAAGCACACTGAGCACGTTCACATCCCAGAGGAAACTCTGCAGTGCGCCAGGAAGTTAAGGAAATCATCCCAACATATCCCAACACTTTGCTCCAAACTATGGGATTGGATCAAGACCTGAATACATACTTGTACCATCGTTGAGAGGATGAACATCCATATGCCAGCTATTTTGATGATTTTGGGGTTTTGATGCAGCCATATGATCCCTTCTTGGTTTGGCACCTGAATCATCCTGAATCTGGGTCCTGCCAGAGGTACCTGCGACCCTCCAATGCTGTCGAAGATGATGGCAATTTCGATTCCGACGAGTCTTGGGAGGACTGGGCCCCTGGGCCCCGGAGAGCTGGATACACACAGAGACTCAGAAGCTGGGCTGTTGAGGTCGTTTATACAAGTGGCCAAGGAGTGAGAAATCTGTGTTTGTTTCTGGTACTGAAAGATAAATATTTTCTACCAGCGGATGAAGAGCCATCCAGAATGAAAACCAGAATGCCGCGGGATACTTCCCTTTCTCCTTTTCTGGAACAATGTCTAATGATTGGAAGGGAGCAGCTGAGTTTCTCAAGCGTTAGCGATCAATAGATCCAATAGCAGGCTAAAAAAAATCAGGACCCTGCTTGCCCACCTGTTCCGGAAGTGACAACATAATCTGCCCCTGGTTCTGGCACCCTGGTAACCGCTGCCAGAACGAGCATTCCCCTTGGTACTACAAGGTGATGAGTGGTGCGCCTGACAGACACGGTGTCGAACACTGGCAGCTGCTTAACAGCTTTGAGAGACAAAGCCACTGGCAGATGACAGTTCTTAGGTTATAATTTTTGAATGCATAGGCTTGTGAGATGGGATGAGTCATATAATATAATACAGGATATACATGTTTGATTGTTTCATTCTTTTCCATGAAGTGTAAACTTCCAGCCAGAGGCCAGAGCGTTAGAACAAGCCATTGGAAAAGCCATGAAGAGTTTCATGGATCTGCACATTGTGATGGACTACATATATATATATATTATATGAGCGACGGCTCTTATTTGCGTATATGGAAAGTAGTATTCGGGCGTACCCGGGTTTGTCAAAAACATCATATTTAGCTTGTAAAACGAGGTAGGAACACCCCGAGAACGAGGTAGGCAAAAACTTTACGGGACTTGAGAACGAGGTAGGAACACCCCGTCAATTGCGTTATGTAACAAATATGGTTCGCAGCTCATATATATATAATATATTCATGTGCCTTTGTGATTCTTTGCAGTCACTCTTGTATCCCAAGCAACATTCACAGCAGGTCCAGATCCTGATCCTTCCAGGTATGTGGCCATGGGGCAAAAAGAAATCTCTAAGCTCACTCTCGTCGAGGCAGAAGATTGGGAACTCAGACATTGAAGAGTGAGCGAGACCCCTAACTGCCAGGGTATTTGAGTTGAATGTAATCCCATATGGATCCATATGGTATATACTGTACATAATATATATATATACAATTATATACATTATATATAACTGTATAATTATATATTATGTATATTAATATGTATATATATATACTCAGCCCAGTATATATATATATTCAGAGTCCTTTTCTGCCGCTTGTTCCTTGCAGAAGTTGCTTCATTCAAAGTCACCCTCACTTACAGCTGTTTGTGCTATGTTGGACCCTAGACTGTTGAGTATCTCAAGTTCGGTAGAGACAACAAGAATCAGACACTGAATTGTGACACCTTGCAACCTTTCAATCACTCCATGTAACTTGAATCCTTCGGATCCAATAAATCTGCAAGGCATCACTTCACCATGGAGCAATTTCTGTCCTCTCACCATCTCTCGCCATCTCTCACCTCCAGATCAGCTCCGGTGGGTGACCTGTCTCCATCTGCTCGCGAGGTGCGGGAATTAGGCACTGCAAATCCTCGGTTTGAGGGCTAGAATACTGGCTATCGTCTCAAGGGGCCAAACCAATGATGTGTGTGCCCGATGTGATGCAGAGCTACTTGCACCTTTATCAGGCGTCTGGTGCTCGTGTCTCAGGCGCGATCACAAACCCACAGGATCTCTTGAAGGGAAACCCAGTGCTAGTATGTGCTAGTGCACTCTTCAGACTTTGGGAAGCATGTTGTGGATTTCTCGGTTGGACCAAGTTGGGCAAAGTTGGGCCACAAATTTGCTGACTCGCAAACGATGGCCTATGGCCTGCCTTCAGTGGTTGGAGGTGCTCGGACTATGGTCGAAGATGATCATCCAGAGGCAGCGCTTATTTGGGTGTGATATAGTTTATCATAGTTTATCATAGTTTATCATAGTTTATCATATTTTATCATAGTTTATCATAGTTTATCATAGTTTATCATAGTTTATCATAGTTTATCATAGTTTATCATAGTTTATCATAGTTTTATCATTGTTTATCACTGTTTATCTGTGAGAAGTCATGTAACATGTGTAGACTGTATAAGACAAGCAAGGGGATGGTTCAAACACCAGGGATGGACTGTCATCTGCATGCCATTGGTCATGCGTCGTCGACGTAAGGAGGGCGCGTCCTTCTTCACGCGAGGCGGGCAGCGCATGGCAGCGCATGACCCACTTCCACTTCTCTTGTCGGTTGTTTCAGTCAGTTTCTGCAGGTTTTCCAGGAGTATTCAATCATATCCAATCAAAAGCTGCTAAAGTCTGTCATCGGAAGCTTGGGGTTGATGGAGAAGGTATCTCGTTGTGGCTCCTTAGACTGAGACTTTAGACTGTCTGTTGGAGGAACTTCACCTAGATCGTGAATCAAAGATATCAAAGCATCGAGTCTTTGCATGTAATGCCCCAATGCAGTTGTCAACTGGGATCAATTGCTTGAGATGATATCGGTGGACATTGCATCCGGAAAATTGTCCCCTTACAATATCTTACAATTCGTTTTTTTGACCATTCTGAATTTGATTGTATGGACAAGAACGAATTGCCCTGGTGACTAGTGCCTAAAGGATCCTAAAGGGTCTTTGCACCCAGACCTTGCACCATCTTACAGAGTTTTGACCGCCTTGACAGTCGGCAATGGCAAACTACCAACATGTTCTGAGAGACCCCAAGAAGCACCACATCTTCTCAAAAACACACCACGTGAGCAAGATCCTTACACAAAAGCTGTGTCAACGCCAGGCTGGGAATTCTTATGATGTTTGCTGAAGCGCTGATTGGGCGTTTTGCCGGGCTTCAAAACAGATTGGAAACACAGATCCAACACCACCAGCTTGTTTGTGCTTGCTACATCTTGGTACTCTTGTGCACTATTGGTAGTTCAGTTTAGACATTTCTTGCACATGTTGTTGATCAGCTCGCACTGTTCAAAGCCATCGGTTCAGCCTTTTCATGCTCAATAGAAAGTCCCTAGCCCGCAGACCACTCCGAAGAAAGGATTGGGCCGTGGTCCCAAGTGTCGTATGACTTGGGCACGTGGGGACACTGGCCCTGGGTTCTGATCCTACAGACAGATGTGGATCGCCAGAAACTGCAATATTTATATTAATATTTATACGTTATTGTATATATATATTTATTTATTTATAGGGTAGGATTTTTCCTAAGTGTGGGCAATGCTTCCCCACTGTCCTTCTATTCCCAACTGAACTGGCTCCACTGGACACTGTTCTGGCCGCATCAGGGTTTAAAACTCTGATGTGAAGTGAGCGATCAGAACTCCATGTCTTTAGATGTTAAACCCGGTGTCAGCAGCCGAACCGGTTGACAGAGGCGCTTCAATGGGAAGAGAATATCTTCATCCAAGATGGAAGACCACACCTTCGCAGTCAAGCAGTAGCTACTTTCCGTAGTAAGAGGTAGATCTCACCAAGTGCATTCCGCAAGCCCAGCAACTGGACGCCTGGCCGTGTGGTTTCACCTGCACAGATCCTCGTAGCGTTCAGGTCGTTAAAAAAAGGGATCCTTTTGGGTACTCGAAAGTCCACCGCGAAAAGTCCATGAAATGGGCGCTCAAAAACAAGGAAATACAGGTAAACATGATGAAACATGATGAAACATGATGAAACATGTGAGTTAAATTGAGTTAAGATAACTGCTGACTCCGTAGGTTGAGCTTTCCACATCTGCTTTGCTTTGAGTGACAGTAAATTGGACACACCAAGATCCGGGCCTCTGATTCGTTGAGACATCACCGTGTGCGAGGAGAAAAGGCTGGCTCCAGTGGGGGATGGAAATCGGGAGATTTGGAAAGGTCAGAGTATGTCAGAGTATGATCTGGAAATATCATGAATCTGGAAATTTCACCTGGAATGCTATGGGCTAAATGTTCTCAACTTTCGGCATCAGCCGTCGTTTGA